TCCTGATCTCGGCACTTTCGAGCAGAGATATTGGTATGGAACGAAGTACTGGAAAGGACCTGGATCGCCAATTATTTTTGTCAATCCCGGCGAACAGGCAGCTGATAACTTCAATGTTTCCTATACTACGAGCCAACGTCTCACGGGACTTCTAGCGGAGAAGCTCGGCGGTGCAGTTGTCATCCTTGAGCACAGATACTGGGGTGAATCGTCTCCCTTCGAGAGTTTGACCACTAAGAATCTCCAATATCTTACACTTGAGAACTCTATTAAGGATAATACTTATTTCGCCAATAACTTCGACACACCTTTTGACAAGACTAAGAAAAGCAGTGCAAAGGATGCGCCTTGGATCTTCACTGGTGGATCTTATCCTGGTGCATTGGCCGGATGGATTGCTGCTAAAGACCCTGGTACGTTCTGGGCGTATTACGGTACCAGTGGGGTGGTGGAAGCTATAGGCGATTTCTGGCAATATTTCGTCCCTATCCAAGAGGCGACACCTAGGAATTGCAGCTCCGATTTAACTACTGTTATCGATTACGTCGACTTTGTTCTCCTGAGTGGTAGCCCTAAGGAGAAGGCTAAGTTAAAGAGCAAATTCAAGCTAGGCAACTTGAAGGATGCTGATTTTGCCGCTGCTCTTGAGAATGGCCCATGGACGTGGCAGTCAGGACAGTTTTACTCGACGACGACTTTGGGATATAACCCTTATTACCGATTCTGCGATTATATTGAGAATGTTTGGCCTACTTCTACTAATCCTGTGCCTGGTCCTAAGGGGGTTGGCTTGGCTAAGGCCCTAGACGGTTACGCAAAATGGTTCACAGAAGTCGAGTTACCGGGAACTTGCGAAAGCTACGGGTATTTCAAAGGCGAAAACAATACGGACTGTTTCCAGTCGCTGAATGCTTCCAACCCCATCTACCACGACCTTTCACCAGGCAATGCTGGGAACCGTCAATGGAATTGGATGCTATGTAATGAGCCTTTCGAATATTGGCAAGATGGTGCCCCTATCGGTCGTCCTAGCATCGTCTCACGCCTTGTTAATAAAGCTTACTGGCGCTCGCAATGCCCGCTTTGGTTCCCTGAGTTAGAGTACGGTATTGCCAAGGGCAAGTCTGCTAAGGATGTGAATAAATATACTGGCGGTTGGTCCGAGAGCAACGTGACCCGCTTGATGATGACCAACGGTCAGTGGGATCCATGGCGTGATTCAACGCTCAGTTCCAAGTTCCGCCCTGGCGGTCCCAAGGAAAGCACCCCCGAATTTCCTATTCGAGTTGTAGAGCAGGGTACACATTGCTCTGATTTGTATGGCCAGAACTGGGCTGTCAACCCCGGTGCTAAAGCTATTGCCGATGAGCAGGTTGCCAACATGGCAGAATGGGTGCAGGAATTCTATGACCAAAAGAAGTAGGTCAGAATATATGTATGATAGCCGTAATCAGTAATGACTTAACCTAATGCAATATGGCTTAGACCAAAGGATCCTGCACTTTATGTCTACAATAGCTTCATTAATACAATGCGGGTTTTCTTTTTCTAAAACTGCTTTATGCTATCTGTACATCTTCTATGACATTCACCCGTTCTTCTTTGATGATTCTCCTTTGCATATTCTTTGCCTCAACACTAGCCTTCCGTGGATTCTCCGCTTCGAAAATCACGTCCAATTCTTCGAGAGTCATCCCCTTAGTCTCAACGAAAAAGAAATACATAAACGCCATCTCGAAGCTATCCCAGAATACGAAGAACACGTAGAACCAATATCCAATTGAGCTAAGGGCGATGGGGCCGACGAACGTGTTCAAGAAGCCGGCCGCCCCAGCAGTTAGTTTAAACGTCCCCATTGCCTTGGCCCGCATCTTGTTTGAAACCACCTCAGCCGGATAAATTGGTTGCATTGGAGTGTAACCTAGGTAGATATGAGCAATCTTTGTTATCAAGACGAACAGTAGTACTCACCGGTTGCGAAGATAGCTCCAAAGAGAAAGATGAACACAATTGACATTGTAGCAGCAGCACTGTTGTCATATTCGACTTTACCGGCGGCTCCGGCAGCGACGAGAGCAAGACAAATGGTCATTCCTAGAGTGCTACCCAGTAACATTTTTCGGCGTCCTACGATATCATGAAGACGAGCTCCGCAGACCGAGAACACCCACCCAATGACAGAATATATGATGTTAAGAATCTATTATAAAGAGTCAGTGTTTAGAAAGGTATTGCATAGTAGGTCTATTATCACCCACTAATTTCGTATTGGTGTCAGTAATACCAATCCCATCTAGCATGGTAGGAAGATAATAACTAATAATACTAAAGCTATATGTCAGCGTTAAGTTTTGCTCCTTGGTTCTCTGGTGGCGTACTTATTTCCACTGAACTGTCCAAACCAGGAGAATGCCACGTTCAGCATGAGCCTATACCTACTTGAACGTGTTTCAACGAGAACTCTGAGGTCAAGAAGATCCTTCCAGGTCGCTTTAGACGTGCCTTGAACTGTCCCCAGCATCTCTTTCATCTGTAGAGTCACAAGGGGGTGGTCAGGATCACCGTTAGTGTGATATCTAGTGATTATATCTCTAGCTTTTTCATGTCGGTCATTTGCAATTAAGTACCGCGGTGATTCGGGGAAAAACTTGATGATAAGGCAAACTACTCCAGGACACACCATCTGTAGCCATAAAGGAATACGCCAGTCTAGGTCGCCACGATCTGCAAGATGAAGATGACATGCGTAGACAGAAGAAGTAGCCAGGATAGAGCCAACATTATAAAAGGTGTTGTACGCTCCAGCAATAGTTCCTCGGTATGCGGCTGGGGAGATCTCGACAAGGTAAAGAGGAGCTGCTGTGTGCGCGCAGGTAGCGAAGAACGACAGAAGAAAACGTCCTCCAATGAACATAGGTAGGTTGGTGGATAGAGCCGTAATAATGGTGCCAATACAAACACCAAGGCAGCCAAAGAAGATATGCCACGTTCGCCCGTACCAGTCTGTCATCCAGACAAAAAGAGCACCGCACATTTGACCTACCTACGGAGGTTAGCCCCTGTCATAGTAGTTACTGTTTGAAGCACTTACTTGGAATATAGCAAACACAATGCCAGTTGAAGCATTTCCTTTAACCGGAAGCCCAAAATATCTGGTATAATTTGGAAGAGCCTGCTAGCAGTGTTAATGTAACTTACTCGAAATTGTATATGAAACTCCATTCATTGCTTTTAATTAACAGCTTTGATAAGTAGATACTGCTTACATTAATAGAGCTCATTAATGAGCTGTCGAATCCTAGGGCAATCAATATTGGCCCTGAAATGGGTAAGATATGCGAGACATACTAACCGTTCATAGTAGAGCAAAGAAAAACCATTCCAGCTAGAAGGTAAAGCTGAATATAGCCAGGGCCTCGAGGATTCGGCTTGTTTGTCGCCATGATGGCTGCATATGTTTCCGGACTGGGCTCGATCCCGTCGACGTCGTTGAGATGAATATGCTGTCCTTGTTTATCCATTGAATCATGACTTAAACGAATATTCGACGCTTTAGAAGCTTGCATATTTCTAACTTGGTCCGCCATGGTTAAGATGGTGACGAATAGCAAAGTTTGCTCTCTTGGCTAAAACAAGAACAATTAAGAGTTAAGACTAAAACGAATCAGCACGAGATCATCGTCTTATACGAGTACTTCACACGACGCGAGAAACCCGAAGAAAACCTATCAACCCCGGCTCTCTATTCCCCTGGTAAGCCCCAGGAACACGGGTTCCCCATGGGGCCTGTAAATTTCCCACGGGTTGTTTCTAGGAAGTGGGGAGCCAAAGGATACCATTCGATCTAGGGTCATGTTGCGACTCCAAATCAGATGTGATTGGCCTTCGGGAATTTAATTCCCCAGGCATCTAGGCCCTAGAGGCCCTAAGGTAGAGGCTTCTTTGGTGGGGGTAGCGTTCTAATTTAGAATTGCGGTCTTATATAAATCCCCCTTCCTGAAATAGAATGCGGTTAAACAAACCACCGACCGCCACCAAGCGGTAAGGCCACTATCATCAATAGAGTTGGCTGCAGCTTGAGGTGTTCTGGGTCTTGAATAATTCGAGGTTTGTGGCTTTAACCCCTGAGAGCTATTACTAGGGGGAAATATCATTTAGCAAATGAATTTCAATATGAGTGTTTTGTGTACGAGATAGTCAAATTATAATAGTGTAAGTCAGGGGTCAGTCGGTTGAGCGATCTTACATTGGCACTGCTAAGGTACGAGTATCTATCAAATTACGGCGGTTCTGATTTTGCAAAACTAGGCGATTATGGGTCAAATGTGGAAATTGGCAGAATGTAATTGATAGATACCGGAAGGTTATTTAGAGGCTTGCTAATATTTCGCAGTGAGTGAGCATAGAGCTCAAGAGAGTTGCTGGATGGTCTTACATGGGAAGGTATATGATGTAGGTTATCAAAGTATAGAGAGGATCTGTATTGAATGGGCGTTGAGCTAACTCGACTTGAGTAGATCACTTCGTTCGTCCCAAAACATCCTGGAGGGAGAAGTATTCTGCTGAAGAATGCAGGGCAAGACGCGTCGGCGGCATTCGATTCGGTCCACCCAGTTGAGATACTGGATGAGTATTTAACGCCAGACCAAGTAATAGGAACAATTGAACCAGGCGACGCTGCCGAGGACAAGATGGAACGGAAAGCTAAACATGATTCGCATATAGGATTAAAGGAAACCTCGTCGATCACATTGCCGCCCCTTACGTCGATGTTGAGTGTATCTGAGATTGAATCGCACGCGATGAAACGTCTATCACCCAAAGCGATATCATATTATGTCTCTGCAACTGATGACCAACTCACAAAGGAAGCGAATGGTCAGATATACCGGTCTATCCTCCTGCGACCGCGGGTCTTTGTAGACTGCACAGAGTGCTCGCTAGAAACATCGATATTGGGGAATAGGGTAGGCCTACCAATATATGTCTCCCCAGCTGCCATGGCTCGTCTGGCCCATCCGAGTGGCGAAGCTGGAATAGCCCGCGCATGCTCAAAATACAACGCGCTTCAGATCATCAGTAAGAATGCCTCGATGTCACCGCCAGCAATTGTGAGTGCTGGGCCTGATGCAGTCTTCGCGTGGCAACTATATGTGCTCAAGGACCTCGCAGCAACTGAAAGGACTCTAGCACAAATCCGCAAAATCCCCCAGATTAAGTTCATCGTCCTAACGCTAGACGCACCGTTTCCTGGAAAACGTGAAGCAGATGAGCGCTTCAAAATGGCAGAGGTAGCTGGCGGGGCGCCACCGCAGGCTTGGGGGACAGAGTCGGCGTTGACATGGAGAAAGACATTGGAATGGCTAGGTAAACATACAAGCTTGCCGATAGTCCTCAAAGGAGTCCAGACACATGAGGATGCATACGCCGCAACGCTGTTCCCTGCTGTTAAAGCTATTATCATTTCGAATCATGGCGGTAGGGCGCTTGATACTGCACCTCCACCAATTCAAGTTCTATTAGAAATTCGAAAATTCTGCCCGCAGGTTTTAGACTGCATTGATGTACTCGTCGATGGGGGTGTCAAGCGAGGTACAGATGTTGTGAAGGCCCTGGCGTTAGGAGCGAAGGGTGTTGGGATCGGCCGGGCCGCCCTCTACGGGCTCTCAGTTGGAGGAGAAAAGGGTGTGGAGAGAGTGCTCAAGAGTAAGTACTTAAGTTAGGGAGTGCGTAGATGATATCCATGGCTGACATATGGTATAGTTCTAGCTGACGAGACCCAAACGGCGATGAGGTTACTTGGTGTGAAGAATGTATCGGAGCTTAGTCTGCAGCACGTAAGTCATATCGTACCTATACGTTCCAACTATTTTGACTAACCATATAATAGATTAATACAAGTGCGTTAAAATCGAGGCTGTTTGATGGGTCTTCAGGTCTCGAGGAAATTGAAAGGAAACTCCAGTCTAAATTGTGAAAATGTTGCTAGGATTAGTAAAATGGGTTAATGGATAGGTACGCATACCATTAAATAAGGCATGAACATAATAAGATCTTAAAACTCCTTAAATTGTCATTGAATATCCAGTAGGTCGATGAATCACCTGATCGAGTATAGTATATACATGTTTATTCGTCTTTAGATATCGTTTCATTGAGCTACGAAGAAAGCTCCCTGGAGATCATCGTCCATTAGGAACGAGCCCCAGTCCAACTCGGCGGTAAGCTGTTCATCATACCAGCCGAAGAAATTTGAATCTCCATCCTGAGATGGGGTTCGGCCAGCAACTTCCGCTTCACCAGTAATTGCTTCATATATCGCTGCGACTATGTCTGGTCCCCTATCGGAAGCCCGCATCCACGGCTTCATTTCTGAGAAAGTTTCGAGAGCTTTGACCAAGCTTGCGCGAGCCGAGGTCAATGACTCGGCATTCGGATTGGGGCGCGATTGCTCAATCACGATGGAAAGTAGAGGAATCATACAGGCTTGAAAAAGGTACCAAGCTGAGTTCCAGACGTGAATTCTGTTTGGCGTCCAGTACAGTGCTATCGAATCAATAGCTTCACCCGCGACGGTTCGGCAAGTATCAATAATTTGAAGTTCTTCTGCGCTAAGCTGAGCCTTTTGAATGCGGCTATGGGCAAGATATAATATTAGAGATCGCATCAGAATTAAACGTATATTAAGGTAGCGGTTGCGCACTAACAGTGTAGAAGTCAGTAGATATTTCTTTTAACAGTTTTAATATTAGTAACAACCCCCTATCGACACCATCAAGCAGCTTTGTCCCCCGATATGGGATAAAAAAGGGACGAAGGAAACTTTGAATGCTACATACTGAATTCGCGTGCAATTGTGAGACGTGATGGCGAGTTTGTCGGTGACCTAAGGACTAGAGGTATGGAAGCGTACCACGTTTGCAACTCTTCATCATAAGACACTGCCTCGGCGATCGTAAGACGACTGAACCGTGCAAAGCGATTCTGTATGCGGTTGCATGATAGGCAAAACTGGAGACTAGCAGATAATGACATTGCCATATGATCATTTTCAGTTAAAAGACTGGGAAATAAAGTGTCCATCGTGGTGCCCTCCCATCTACCACAGGTTGGACGGCCCAGTGTCATACTTGCCCAAGTATCAAGACAGAATAAACTCCACCACGTCCTACGTTTAGTTTCGGTGCGGCTTAGCTTCGTTTCCTCTTGAATTTTACTATTAGTGGTATTTCGATGCCTAGACTCTCTATGTAAACCTAGAGCGATGGCGACGCGGTGTGCAGCACCAAGGACAGCATAGGCCATATTCGGGGCATTTCGATAATGCAAATAGAGTCCCCCAAGCAAGCAGAGAGCTTGTAAGCTTTCTAGATTGCCGGCACCGAAGCTATCGAGATCTAAAAAGTTGCGAGCCTGTTCGTAGTATTGTTCATGAAGGGTATCGCTCCCAGAGGCTATAGAGCCAAGAGTTATCACCATGTTCAGTAGACCGAGCCAACCAGGATCTCTGCGATGTCTTAAGGAGTAGGAATTCCGGAAGTCTTCTTCATCTAGCATGGGAACGATTGGATGAATATGCTCGAAATAGAAATCGATACATCGTTGCTCTTTGAGGAGATGGGTACTCAAGTCCCCGCTCATAAATGGTACAGTTTGAGATTGGGGTTGAATAGGATTCTCAGACCATTTCTTGGCTTGCTCAGCAACGCGATGCTTTGCCGAGGGACAAAATCGGAAAACTGCTCGGAGAATGGCGCTGATTGAAGTCACTCCTAGATAAGAGCGACGGTGTTTGTCGGTTGCGAGATTGATAGCGTTGATATCATCGGCAGCCTGCAGTACAGGCGGCTGGTGACTTGACTCGTCCCATTGCCGATCGGTCGCAGGCTCGCCGTTTTCAGATACTTGGGCGGAATCATCAGCCGCTTCGGCATATTCAGCAGGCCGGCTAACTAATTCCACCGATGGCCCTTTAGATACTGAGTTTACGCGAAGGATTTCTAGCAACTCATCACGACTCTTGCCAATGAGCTCATCCACGGACGCGTCAGGAAATAGCTGTTCGAGGACCTCTGTTCGTGACCTTAATCGCTCTGACACCTCCTCAAGGGTACTAGGTCCAGCCGTGTAAGTTAGGTATATATAGAATTTAGAGGATGAAAAAAATAAGGGATACTTGGTTTAGAGTAGGTATATTGAAATGGTTAGGTACCTTCTACTAACAGCATTCCTTTTGTTCCGCTGCCGATAGTTACATAGATGTGAGACCTTGTAATACGTACAAGAGCTATGATACGTATCAATATACAATCCGTGAGATACCTAATGCGATACGGCTACTTGCCTACATGGGTGGCCACCATCACACTTAACCTTCCGCCTAGTATAGCCAGTCAAGTCTTAGCAACCGAGTCAAAAGGGGGATCCTTAGCGTCACGTACCTCGTGCATTCCGAGCACGACTTATTAAGGCGAGCTGGTGCTGGTGGTGATGGGCTCGTTTTCTGATGGCTGCTGAAATTGTGGAACATCAACGCAATGGGACATAGTCACGTATTTGTGACCACTCATTCATTGAAAAGGGGCTTCATCGAAGGGGACTTGGTGTGATCAGGTGAAATTCCCCAGAGGAACTGGATTAACGATGTGGAGTATTGTGAAAGCCCTTGCATAAGACAAGCTTTTAATTTAATATATTTGCTTAGATGAAGATTTATGTTGTAACAACAGAGGTATCGCTACAAACCGATAAACTTCCCCAGTCGCCCCGCACGAAGAATTGAATTTCCGTATACTAGAAACAGCATTCCCACTATCAACCTTCTAAGATACCTACCTAGGTACACTTACCTTAGGTACCTAACCTCAGGAGGTAGTTACCTTTATAGGCACCTATCTATTACCCATCTAATTGGTACCTAAGTTACGAACTATCAATTTAAGCCTTGATATGTCTCGGTCTCTATATCCCGATACGGATATTTGAATTGTCCACTCAGGAGAGTTCTAATGCCGTCTTGCAACATGACAGGGATGATCATAAACAAGAACCTTCAGGAACCTCGTTTGTATTCTGGACACTTATACTCTGGACTCATCGGGTATCCGTACAACTTCATTCAAAAAAAGGACCTTCTATAAACCTGACATAATCTATTTCGATTTGAAAACGGGCTTTAGCATTCTAGGTGTCATCTAGGCAATTCGATTATACTTCCACCCACCATGGCTTCTACCAAACACATTCTTGATCAGGGATGGACTTTCCAGCAAAGCAACATTTCCTCGGACGACTGGCTCCCAGTGCAAAAAGTCCCAAGTCAAGTTCATATAGATCTACTAGCCAATAACAAGTAAGGATAATTGTCTTCTCTTCACAGTGTCATTACTCTTAGTATGATAGAAAATACTAATCCATTGGTAGGATCCCAGACCCATTCAGCGATCTCAACGAACTAGCAGTACAGTGGATTGCTGAGAAGGACTGGACATACAAGGTCCAATTTCAGAGACCCTCACGTCCTGTAGTTGATGGATCGCTCATCACGGATGTTGTCTTTGAAGGTCTTGATACCTTTGCAACAGTACTATTGAATGGAAGTGATATTTTAAAGTCGGATAATATGTTCTTGTCTCATCGAATAGAGATCTCCAACCTTCTTAAGGATGTCAATATTCTCGAAATCAAATTTGACTCGGCTTTGCTACGGGGCCGGCAGCTGGTAGAAGAGCACAGCCATGAACACACGTTCTACGTACGGCAAACAGAAGTCGGTCGTGTTCCTGTGAGAAAGGCTCAATATAACTGGGGCTGGGATTGGGGACCGATATTAATGACGGCTGGGCCCTGGCGGCCAATTTACCTAGAACAATACGTCTCAAGAATTGATGATGTTTGGACCCATTACGAAGTTAGTGAAGACTTGAAAAGATGTTCAGGCCGCATCTTTGCCAAAGTTGCGGGTACAAGTCAAGAGTCAATCGTACTTTCAGTATCCTTCCGAGGGACGACTATTTGGGAAAAAGAATGCGTCGTTAACTCTGATGGGCTTGCTGAGACGGAGTTCCAGATCGACAACCCAGAGTTATGGTACCCATTTGGCTACGGTCAACAAGCCCGTTACGAGCTGAAGGCAACTATTGCAGGCAATGAAAAGACCAAACTTATCGGCTTCCGGCGAAGTGAATTGGTTCAGGACAAGGACGAGTTTGGCAAATCCTTTTACTTTCGCATAAACGGAATCGACGTGTTCGGTGGTGGATCGTGTTGGATCCCCGCCGACAGTTTCCTCTCACAAATCCCGGCACAACGATACCGTGACTGGATGAAGCTCATGGTAGATGGGAACCAGCATATGCTTAGAATATGGGGCGGTAAGATATAATATTAGAATATTTCATCTGGCGTATAGTCACTGACTAGCGATTATAGGGGGGGTTTATGAGGACGACACCCTTTTTGACGCTTGCGACGAGCTTGGAGTCCTTGTATGGCACGACTTTCAATTCGCATGCGCCAGTTATCCAACGTATCCCTCCTACTTGGAATCTGTTGAACAAGAAGCAAGACAAAATCTTCGTCGGCTGAGGTTTCATCCCTCCTTAGTGATATGGGCCGGAAATAACGAGGACTACCAGGTCCAGGAGCGTTACCATCTTGATTACGATTACGAAGGGGACAAAGATCCTCAATCATGGTTGAAGTCCAGTTTCCCGGCTAGGTACACATACGAGTACCTACTGCCTAAGATCGTTAAGGAAGAGGATCCATTCATGATCTATCACCCAAGTAGCCCATGGGGAGATGGAAAGCACACTACCGATAAGACAGTAGGAGACATTCATCAGTGGAATAGTAAGTCATGTATATTCAATCAGTATAATTTTCTCCTGCGCTAACAATATGAAGTATGGCATGGTGCGATGAATAGATATCAGGAGACTTATCTACTTTCTGGTCGATTTATCAGCGAGTTTGGAATGGAGGCTTACCCGCATCTCGAAACAATTCGTGACATGATTAAAGACCCACAGCAACAGTACCCGGGATCGATGATGATGGACTTTCGTAATAAAGCTATTGACCATGAGCGCCGTATGATAACGTATGTTGCAGAGAATTTCTTGGTGAAATATGACCTTCCTTCATATACCCACCTCACGCAAATTGTTCAAGCGGAAACTATGCATTTCGCCTACAAAACATGGCGCCGAGAATGGGGCAAACCTGGAGCGCGTAAGTGTGGGGGTGTGCTGGTATGGCAATTGAACGACTGCTGGCCGACAATGAGCTGGGCTGTGGTTGACTATTATCTCGTCAAAAAGCCAGCATTTTACGCAATTGCGAACGCCCTGAAGCCACTAGCTGTAGGTGTGTCTCGAACGTATCACGAATGGACAACAGGTCACGCCGATCCCACTTTGCCTTCTCGAGACACGAAATTTGATCTTTGGGTCGTAAGCAATCGACAAGAAGCAGTCCAGCTCGAAATAACCCTCCGATTCATCTCAGTTCGGACAGGCCAGGATATTCAATCCCCTTTAAAACTCGATACTATATCGGCGCAGCCAAACAGCACAACAGAAATCTTTCAAGATCATGCTACCCCTGTGGTAGAATCTCAGTTAGCTGATACTACGCGACCATTCGACCTAGCGAAATACGACCCTTATATAATACATGCAATCGTCAAAGAGGATGGCCAGGTGATTGCGACCGATACCGCATGGCCGCAGCCACTGAAGTACCTGGACTTCTCCGACCGAAACATAAGATTCAATGCTTTATCTACCAACAAAGTCGCCATACTCTCTATTCGCCCAGTAAAGGGATTTGTCTTTGAAGAGACCCGAGACGTAAAACTAAGCGATAATGGGTTCGATCTCGTCCCAGGTGAAGAGAAGATTGTAGATGTATCCGGGGCGGCTTTAGACTCTTTACGATACACCTACATTGGAGCGCCAGAAGGGTCTTTGAAAGTGTCGACATATACATCGGAAGGGAGCTGGACGACATCAGTCGCTAGTCTTGTGTCAAAGATCACCTCTTGAAGAGCTATAAATAAGGAGAGTATTCTAAAGGGGAAGACGTGCTACACATGTATCTATCTTGGCGCTTGCTTCTAGCAGAATGATCAACGTGCCAGACTAAAGGTATGTCTGTGTGGAATAGTTTATAGTAGACTGCCGCCTGATCGGCTTGAGTCATTAATTTGAGAAATGGCCAGTCCGAGGTCTCCTTATACCACTAAAAATAGTCGTAGTATGAGAACGTCTTGTTATCAATAGTACAGCTAAATGTACCCCATTTTCATATGCATTTCAGAATTGTATTTATCAGATCTTTCAGGTTAGATTTGGATATGACTACTTCGCTATGTAAATATCCATGTAGTATATACTGCTGGAAACCCTATATGCCGTCTTATTTACAGCAAATATACCTCTAAATAAACCACTAATCTAAGGGTTCGTATGGTAACTACTTGCCTTACACATTCCGAGTGGCAAGCGTTTATAGAGTTATGGATAATCGACGTGACGAGCCCTCATAAGGATCGCACACTCTAATATGTTAGGCTAAGATCTCGCAAGATGGCCTAATCGACCAACGTGGTTATATACGAGGTTTTGATGCTATGCCGCGACGAAAGTTAGTATCCCAACGACGCGTTATCCTGAATCGTCTTCAGGGTAATATCCAACTTTGATTGTCACAATATGTATCCATCCGTTCAATGTAGTCCTTAACTCTCTCCATTACCCACCCTGACATCACTCGGGGGGTAGCGTCTTTAGAGATCTGATGTCCAAGAATAAGGGCCGTTGACGTTTTACAGGACTGATCTGTAAATGAGAATTGTACGCAATCGAGTTGCTTCTCACAGGTGTTGCGACATTCGTCGAAAGAAGTAACCGAACCCTGGTCAACATCTGATAAATTATCCCAATCACTAAGGTTTGACGAGAGACGAGGTAAGATATAATGTTTAAATACGTCTCCGTGACGTAGGCGAGACACGTTCTACCGGGAACTCTAATGTTAGCATGAGCCGATCTAAGAATTAACAAAGTTTAAGCTTACTTCCCGATTCCAAGTCTGTTCGAACTTGGCTAATTTATGATATTCCGCAGGTGGAAGATGGTGATAGCTTGCAGCGTAGTAACACCAGGGTGTCTTATTCGATCCACCAAACGATGAGTTGAAATTCATATCAGAGGGCTGGTCACCAGTCAGAGTCGGGAAGGACCATAGCAAATTTACACCCGAATCGGCTAGGGCTTTGCCTAAGATACAGTCACCAGCCCAGTGAGCGCCAGTCAGGTCGTCGTAGAACTTGAGCTTTTCTCTGCGGTGTGCCACAACCATCTTCAACGCCGGGTTAGAAATTGCGAAACCCCCACCACCATAAGCGAAGACGACGTCACCAATTTGCATCTGCATGCCTAGATAATGTGGCTTAGAAGGATCAAAATGGGCAAGCCATTCTAGTAGGGTTTGCCAGAGCATATAAGTATCGGACTCGATGAAGATATACCACTTCGCATCGGGTTGCTGGCGAAGGGCCTTTTCTGCTAACGGGAGAAACTTCCACTTATCCAACCTCCAACCAGGACTATCCCGTCCACCATTTGTATTTTTAGCTGAACTCCATTGCTCTAATTCTTCTGATGAAAAGGCCTCTCTACCCTTCTCTTGTAGACGGCGGTAATATTCGAAATCGGCATGCGTGGATATGATATCTGGGTTGATCTCGTCTAAAGCATTGTAGACATGATGTCCTTCAATATCCTCCTCGTAATCGGAATAGATGGCGTAGTGAGGAGCGCAGCGTAGGGTAGTCGAAAAATGAACTGGAAGTTTTTTAGGGGCCTCGGAAGCCCCTGTCCTGAGAATTACGAAGAGATCATCGAGTGCTTCAAGCGAGTCGCATGTTGAGGGAACGTCTTCTTCGTCAGGATATTTTTGGCTTACGGAAACCGGCTTGCGAAAAGAAAGATACTGCTGGAGTATTAGAAAAACCAAAATCGCCGCAAGCACTCGATATCCTGAGCGTGTAAAGGATGACGGGAAAATAGAAAACATCATACAAACTAAGATGTTGTATAGTTGAAGGAAAAATAATACCAAAAGGACTGAGTTAGAAATAACAGAGCTAGCTCCATTCAACCCAAGGACATGCCAACAAACCACGTTCGGAATTTTCGATGGTTCTAAAATAAAAAGGAAGTCTCCCTAAAACAAAGCAAGCCCTACGTTAGGTAGTGTATGTATGATGTAGTTATGCATGTATGTATCTCTAAAGAAAAGTAATGTACTCTGTAGATCATTAAGCAAAATAATCGAAAGACCAATCCTGCCAGCCTAGACATCCATGTCTATTAAGTGGGATTGGTACGGATCCATAGACAAGTTGTACCATAACGACTTGGCCTTGGCGGTATTAGCCACCAACGCTATCTGAGGTTTAGTTGGCTTAGCCCGTGCTTCGCCTTGGAACTAATGCAAGGGAGTAATAAGTAATAACAGAGCGCTTATAAAGACACTTAGATACGCAGAAAGGCGTCAAAAAAGGTGGCGCACCCACTACCAACGCATACAAAAGTATTATATTTCAAAAAGTTATTCTATACCCAAACCTACCTTTAAAAATAAAAAGAAATTATTATAATAAAATTAAGCTATTAAATTATAATCAGATGATTTTTTTATTATTTATATTAACCTAAATTGGTACGTAATTATAAGTTATATTATTATTGTAAAAGTATTAAATATTAATATAAAACCACCTCTATTTAAAGGCTTATTTCCCAATCTTAGACTAAATAAAAAATATAGTAAAATAGGCCATTATTAGGGCTATCGAATAGTATATTCCATAACCAATCTAGTCTTAAATTGGCTGAATTATAGCCGTTAGAAGTTAGAGTGTTTTTGGTATATTTTGGTAGGAAGCGCCACCTTTTTTGACGCCCTTCTGATACGGTGTATTATTATGTGTATTATGTGTATTATTATATATGTATTATACATATAGGACTAGGGTTCAATGCAACTCCTCCCCAGGATCATGATACCTACCAGCGAAATTCTCATGGTCGCGACACATACATTTATGTACGTTATTCACTCGGATATCTTTAGCGAACTTGCGGCTGAGTCCTTGGAACTCCATAGGGCTGCTTATTACAGGCCAGGATGAAATAAGCTAAACATACTAATTTACAATCCTTGAAAGTATGAATACCAAAAGCCAAACGGTAAGCCCAGTGGTGTAAGTTCCTGGCTTTGACCACTAAATTATACGAGTGACCATAACTCCCTCACGTTTTTCTGGTGCATTTCTCATTTTCCTTGCTATTGCTGCGTTGTTTTATATATTCTAGTAATCTTTGGGTATTTCCTAAAGGCGGCCATGGGGTTTGGATCGCTCTCTGCGTTCATATCGCTCATATTCTTGAGCTCCGCCATTCTTGCACAAGATCTCCCCGGGCCAGGCGAGCCGGCGTTCGAGTACACTGATGGCGCGTTCACAGAGCCGAGAGGATCCCAATCAACATATAGATTTGGAGCAACGATGAACGTTAGTTGGGATACAACCTACGAAACTTCGAATCTTTGGTTGATTGTTGGCTGGAGCTTCAACTCGCCTGTACAACTTGCATGTAAGCCGCATAATCTAACAATATTACTTTCAGCCCTATGAGATTAACTAAACAATACATAGCCAACGTAGGACAGACATGGTACGAATGGAAAGTGTCAACTGACTCAACGAATTCTTCGGAGATATACGCATTTCGCGTGGTCGATGCGTCTGGCACAACTGAAGAGCAACAAGGAGGTGGATTTTTGAGCGCGGCTTTTTGGATCGATGGTCTACAAACTACCACTTTATCGTCAACTATATCCCATATATCAACATCCGCCTCCGCACCTGTTACGACCTCTACCTGTTAGTTACAAATTTTCCCCCTGGTTTACTTCAGATTTAACTAATCAATACCGAAATAATAGCGACGAGCTCCTCGGTGACATCTCAGACCCCCGAGAGCACATCTGAGAATCAGTCTTCCGGCCTATCAGACAGCGGTAAGATCGGTGTTGGTGTAGGAGTAGGAGTTGGAGGTGTGGGTATCATTGCTCTCGTTTTAGGAATATTGTTCTTCAGACGGTCAAAGAACGATAGAACGCAAGCGGCTGACAGCATGGAGCCCTATTCTCAATCCCCGCAAACATTCCCCCCGACGCCACAACCCTACCACGGTGCTGCCGACGCCGAACTTCATGGCTATTATAAGCCGACGGGCCCAAGTGAGATGGAAGGAGTAGGTAGAAGTGCTGAGCTAGACGGAGGACAAAAGGATATATTAGCTCCCGGCGCATACACAGGCAATGCCCCTAGACAGCACCCTGCTGAGCTTCAAGGATGAATTCTTGTCAAAAGTCAGCGATTTATTTATAAGATACCCACGCTTTGATTTAAAAGATATATTTTTGGTCATAGGTAGATAGCCTGCGTGCTCGTTATGAGTAATGTAAATTTCTGAAGCTGCGAGCCGTATGATAATATTGTCGCTTGAATTTATTATTACAGTCGTCTCATTTTATGTTAAAGATCGTGAGCCGACGTCAGTAGCGGTTGGACCAACCTAACAAGTATCTACCCATACATGATAAACACGATACTCGATACAATTAGGGAGTTTAAGGTTGAGGAGGGTAAGTTAAACATTATATTTTGAATATTAGTGTTCAGTCTATTTTTTATGTTATTGTGTAGTTCGTACCCAGGTTAGGCACCTACATTCAACCTTTATTTAAGTTGGTATATGAACACGTTCACCCACCAAACATTAATCAACAATTCCTACTTTTTTCTATTGCGACGAAATGGCCACCAAAATTCAATTGGTAAACAAGTCTCTCCTTAAAGCAAACATGAAACACATGTCAAAACATCACAGTTCAGCAATGTTGGTTAGAGTAGGAAAGGCCACAACTTGATACCTGAATTTAAAGCCACTTATTGGTACTTCTTATTGTTCTTTAAACATATCGCACTGGGAGAAATTCTACCGCGAACGTCAAAACATGCGGCGTGTTACAATTTCGTGCGAAGCAAAGTGATAGAGAGATACCTCGTAACTGAAATAGATATCACTCTCAAATAGCCACAAAAAACATTGCATAATTTAGGTACATAAACTTCATGTGATCTCATGAACCCCCCGAATCCCTAGGCCTTCTGCCAAAACGAAAGGTTACCTATATGCTCGTAAAGGCAGCAGTCATATTAACTCCTCTAGATATCTCTGCTTCTTTAGGTTCTAGCGGGTACGCCCGCAATCGTGTTTTTGGATGAAGGGGCATTTTGAACCGATTCATCAATCGGTCTACATCGGCATACGTTAGTAGATCATTGCTTGATGAGTGTTTAAATAGCCCTGTTTAATATTAGTCAAAATTACTGGAAACTCAAAAGCTCCTCATACTTACGAAGCAAAACTTTGGGTAGCATCCATATTTTCGAGAATTTCTCTAAGAATAGTATGAGAGTACTCTCGGAATGAGCCAGACAGGATATTAACGACGACCCTACATCGGTAATACATCTGCGGTGCAGGTTCGTGACCCAGAGAGCCTTGAATATGATGAGACATAGTGCGGGATCAACACGAGACCAGAACTGGTTATTCCATTCATCGACAACCGAGACGATATCCTGGCAGGTGTCAAGACTCCGTTGCCAGCAGTCTAGCCATTGGGCCTCGTTGGTATAAAGGTTTGAGGGTAGGGAGGCGACAAGGCGCGTCATGTGCAGATGCAATATATTAGTAACTCGGATGCAATGGTGAACATCAGATTCTGCCGCTAATACATTGCGCTTTGGATTAAGATATCCGGGCGGAAGTGCGAGGAGAACTGAAGTAAGAGCATCTCCTAGAACAGCTGTTTTAGAGTCGACACATTTTCTCGTGGCCCTAAGTGTTAAGACGCTTCCCGCATGGCGCAACATTGCAGTGGTAAGAATATGAATGTTCAACTCCCGCCCACAATAGTTTAACACAACATCTTGCAAAGTTCTCCAGAGTTGGTCTATATCATCAGTTAGGAATAGTTTTGGCGAGTTTGAAACCACCTCATCAGATAATGACCTCCTAATGAGAGCGCTGTTGATGCTTTCCACATCGACCATATAAGGGGTACCCAAAGCAATATTTGAATATGAATCGAGACGGTAGACACACCACCATACGTATCTCCAATCTTCAATTTCATCTTCTGTCACTAACCCGTGATTAAAGGCTGAGCACAAGTCTGGATTCTCTATTTGATTGAGCCCCAAGGTATAAGCCTTACGCGTTAATCGGCTTATTCTCATCCCGGCTGATGGCCCAGGAAACTGATGAAAGTTGTAATAGGCGAGTAGGCATTCTTGCCTGAGGTGATCCAGACTAGTCTGAGAGCCTAACGAATCATTTTCATAAGCCGTCGTCCCAAGTAGTGAGTTTATACACGAGTCCACATCCTCAGAACACCAAAACTCAACTGGTCCTAAGAGTTTGGTTGTGATTGCGTTAATTATTACGACTAGACCATAACAAGCTACGCCTTCATCGTACGACTTAAGAAATCTGCTTTTCTGAAACAGTGGGATAGCGGGATGTACATCGTCGAAAAACCGCAGTAGACTTCCTAGGGTGTTAAAAGGGGGTTGATGGGCTATATAGGGGGTGAAACTAACATGTCTTTTTCCTGCGAAGAGTCCAAGTAATAGCCTGGGAAGCTAGGCAAGCCTAATGCAGGTACAGCCATAGACACATACGGTAAGAAGCTCGGACCGACACGATCAATGCATGGTGCGAAATGTACTGAAACATTATCGTTGAATATTGGGGTTTCAAATTGATCATAACGCTGTAAATACGTCATAGGTGTTGATTCATCGTTGTTCGCTTGTTGATTTAGTGGGTTGATGGCCACCGGATTCGATACTAAACTATTGCGAGTCCTCGGCCGAAATCCTCTTGGAGGACCTGGCTTTCGCTTTCGTGTCGAATATGTACATGAATAGCCAGATTCTAAACAACGAGAGCAATGGGGACGTTGTAAGTCACCTAAAACTTATAGTGTCAGCATATAAGCAGGAATCATGTTATGAATTGTCCGCTTCACACTTGACTTTTTTCCTAAGATAATGTTAGCACCCCTTGTCCTTATTGCGACAATCAATTACAGTAGCAACAAACTTGATGCATCGGTCGCAGACACGACTATGAGCAGGCATATTAAACATGTATTTGCATCGATTCTAACCGTCGTCAATATAAATACATGGGTTTACGGGAAATCATTTGCTTTTCTAAACTTATGAATAAATTGATGTTTCCGTTGAGGTTGAGGATATCGAACTCTTCCGTGCCGTCGCGATCTCGCTTCTCATTTCTTGTGGCTAAGATAATGTGGCTAATTAGATGTGGCTTGAACATAGTCTCATGAAATTCCCCCCTATTCACCCCCTTTTTCTATGCCAGTCCCTAATTCTAACAATCTAACATTCAGTATTAGCTCATTCAAGCAACTCTAACGTGAAGATTAATGAGAAACGTGATGATATGTATAATTAGTAATTCATTAAACGCTTCGATAGTTCAGTCTAACTATAGTTAACTACCTGTATTCATTATACCTTTTGATGTAGAGTTACCGGTTTAATGTACTTGAATTGAAAATGTATAGGTACCCAAATTATATATATATAATACCGTCAATTTATCACCTTATTACATATTTACGAAGACATTAATTAACTATTGAAGCGTACCTTGGAAGGTTATACCCCAACCTAAGCGGTGTGGTGAAGTTCCTCCGCGGAGGAACTCCAACTTTGGGTCGGAGGAACTGAACTACTGCCGTACCAACTTAAGGGCGAGTATTAGGCCATGTAGTATGATTTTCTAATGAAATATTTTAGTGAAGGATCCCCGGAATAGCGAATTTCGCATATTCTACTTATTTTTGGCGCCTATAAGTAAGTTGAAGTACTGAGCGACTCGTCACTTAGGATTCGCCGACCCGACAACGAAATATACTTTGGCTATAAATGGTGCAAAATCCCTACTTTGGTTTTATTTTCATTTTATATAACACCTACACTCGAACATGGAACAAACAGAGGTCATCATCGTGGGTGCTGGCCCATCCGGTCTAGCTTTAGCACTCTCATTGGCTAAATTCAATGTTCATGTGAGTCTTAGTATTTCTCATCGGATAATAGAATGACCATTGTTGATAATCTTGATAGTCTGTCATTTTAGAGAAGGAATCTGAGATTACACAAGATCCAAGAGGCGTTTATCTCACTAATGATGCGGTTCGCATCTTGTGGAATCTTGGCCTCGACGACATCCTAGAGGAGATTGGACACGGTATGTTCTTATGTTACAAGGCTGTTAAAATTATATGGCTGATGATATCCTCAAGAGCTATCCATCATCAACTTCCATCAGACTTCATTTGCAAATGACCCCTTCTACGTGATGGATATCGGTAGTGACGGGTTCTGGCAAGTACTTCCCAACGCTGTGCTTCACACTCAACCAAAACTAGGTAAGATTACTAAACTACCTTTCACGTAGAGACGAACGATCTAACATATGTGATAAAAGAGAGTGCAATGCGACGAAAGGTTGCCGAGTCGCCGTACTGCAATCTGCGATGTCAGTGCGAAGTAGTAGATATGAAACAAGAGGGCGGCCGTCCTGTTATTGAATACGAAAACGAGAAAAGAGCTCGCCGTAAGATTTTGGGCTCCTTCGTCGTTGGAGCCGACGGAAAGAAAGGTATTGTGAGAAAAAACTTCCTCGAGGAGTTAGCTGGAATTAAGCAAGTTGAGGGCTCGTACCGCTATGATGGAACGTGGATCGCGGCGAACTTAAAGCTCACGGTACCAACTCCAGAGACACATCCCGACTTCCCCCTTTGGGAACTTGGATTCAACCCTGAAGCAGTATACGACCTTTTCTGGCCGAAAGGTTGGCATTTCTGTAGCCCACCGGGAAGAGCGACTGCCGCGGGGAGATTTGGCCCTCACATGGAGCGGTTGTGGCGCCATGAGCTTGAGCAGAATGACTGGGACGATTCCATGGATGCTGAGAAGCTCTTATGGGCGAATATCAAGCCTATGATTACACGTACGAAGGATACGTCAAACAAGCGGTTCCCCTGTGGCGATGTCACATACCCGCGCGATTGTATCAGCATTATACGGTGCCGCCCATATTTATTTACCCACAAGGTCGTCAATAAATGGTATCACGACCGCATTATTTTGATTGGCGACGCGGCACATGTGTTCCCGCCATTCGGGGGCCAGGGTATTGCAAGCGGGTTTCGCGATGCCCACCAGCTTGCCTGGCGCATCTCATTACATCAGCTTCTACCTAAGAGCGACAGATCGCTCCGCGATAACCTTCTAGAAGGTTGGGCACGGGAACGCCGCTATGGTGTCGACGACGCTACAAAAATCACAAGCCTAAATGGCAGGTTATGCAATAAAGGCGATGATTTTTATTTCTGGCTGATACGCACGATAGTTTGGCTCTTGAGAAGCATTTCGACTATCTTTAGCATGCCGGATCCTATAGCTGCTTCAGAGACCAATGGATATCAGTATGTTGACGATGGCTTCATTTTGAAGAAATTTCATGGCGGCAAGCGCCTAGCTCAGATTTATGTGGAATCAAGTCACCAATCTCCCATGCTATCGGATGAGTTGATAAGGAATACTAAGACGGTGATGACGTTACTGGTCATAGCAACAGGCCAGTATAAAGATATAGTTACGGAGGCGCAAGAAGTTCTCAGAGCAGTTGACCTGAACCCATCAGTCTTGTCGGAAATATCTCTCCGGGTTTTCTCTCTCGATACCCCATCTGATACCGATGGTGTTGAGGTATATTTTCCTACACCTACTCGTCGCCTCGTCGATTTAGACATCTCGGTCAAACCAGGATATAGCCCATCCAACTATCTACGTCGGCTGGGCCCAGGTACAAAATTTGTTATTGTTCGCCCCGATTTATACACATTCGCTCTCGCGAATAACACGGAAGAGTTGGTAGAATGTCTTAGAACACTCCGGTCACGGCTTCAACAAGAAAGTTGAGCTGCACAGTCAAGATCGGGCATTATGTTAGTTACCTAACCCACCTCAACCGTTTTGTAGAATACCTGGATCCAGAAACTTAAACGTACGGATGTAAGATTCGGGGGTAGATATGCAGCTTCTTGCACACCGCCGGATCCACAAAATCCCTCATTGAGTCCTTATTTTTGAATGCGTTGTCAGAATTTAGTATAAGCCGTATCTAACGGTGGTAGTATGATTATCCACTCTGGGAGTACATATAAAAGGCTTGTATATAATACCTTAGGTACATTTTCCCAACCTGACTTAACACTCCTACCATCTTCTTATCTACACTGCCTAACCTAGTCTTCTGTCACTATGCAAACAGGTAGCTGTCTATGCGGAGAAATTAAGATCGCCTACGAAGGTGATCCGGTATACCGGGTGAGCTGCCTTGAAGGTACTACATATCCGGTATATACTGATAGTAAAAGGCAATATGTTATTGTCACGATTGCCGGAAAATGGCAAACGGACAGGTTTTCCAGGTGTTAAAAACGAACTTCTCGGTGACTAAGGGCGAGCCAAAGACGTATACGAAGGTGTCAGATCACGGAAATGTGAGTCTAAGACCAGATGTCTCCGGAGTCCATGATCTAATCCAGCCGCCCGATATAGGAAATTATAACCCATTTCTGCGCAACATGTGGCACGGCTCTGTTTCGAAGCGGCGGAGCGGAGATAAATAAAGATAATATAGGTATTCGCGCTGGTGTATTGGATGATCAAAGCCTTCTGAATAACCCCCCTGCCCTTGAGGTCTATGTTGAGAGACGACCACCGTGGATAAAGCAGGTTGAGGGTGCTATCCAATTGAATCACAAATATGAGGTTATTTCTCAATGAGAGTTATGAATTATGTCTCTCGATTGTATTATGAACTTGTATTGCATTTTCTATAATATCTTGATGCGTACCTACCATTCCTTCACCAAAGGTCTCAGGTGCTCTTATCCTTCAGTAAAATTCCAAGCTTAGATGTATATATAGAGAGAGAAACATTCAAGCCACAAGTAAAGATTATAATGATTCTTATTCTATTTTGCAAAACGTAATCACGAGTTATAAGTACATACCTACTTCCTAGGTAGGTAACTTGACAGAGGTTTGGGTGAGTCGATGAAGTAAGCTTTCACTCTTACACTACGAAATCCGCTCAACAGCTTATAGAAAGAGTAGACGATAGAGAGTTAATCTTATTTGCCGTTGCTTTGTTTGATAAAACTTAGGTAATTAGGTAAATGTTATCTTACACTAAACTCTTCGCTTCAGTCCAATATCTAATGCTAGCGGCTTCCTTAAGAATCCCTCTCGAGTCTCCATCTCTCCCTGACAAAGAAATACGTTGTATCGCCGCGCCCAGGTCGCCACGATCATCTTCATTTCCATCTCGGCCACGTTTCGGCCAACACAGGCTCTGGGACCCGTGCTGAACGGTATAAATGCGTTCTTCTGGCGCGTCGTCGTGTCTTCCCATCTCTCAGGGCGAAACTCATCTGCATCATCGCCCCATATCTCCCGCGAGTGGTGCATGGTATATGTTGGCACGCTAAGCACCGTGCCGGGGGGGAAGTAGTATCCACGGATGTGTACTCCCTCAGAATCGGGCGGGATCTCTCGTGGTAGGCCGATACCAGATGTGCAGTGAATACGCAACGTTTCGTTGATGACCATCTGGAGGTATGGTAAATTTCTGATCGCGTCGTATGAGGGCACGGTGACGTCATCACTTGGGATTGCTGCATCGAGCTCCGCCTGCAACTTTTGTAAGACACCAGGAGTCCGTGCGACGTGATAAAGAAGAGCACAAGACGAATTAGAGGTCGTGTCTGACCCAGCAATTAGCTGCGTTAAGGCTTCTGCTGTTAGTTCCTCGAAGCCTAATGGCTCGCCTTTCTCGTCGCGTCCTTCTTGCAGTAGGGCAAGAAGATCTCTGCGGTTGATGTCTGGTGGGTTCTCGAGACGATCTTTTACACGCGCAATAGCTATGCCGGCCAAATTCTCTACAGCTGCGAGACCCTTGCTAAAGAACGAATCGGGGAGCCATTTGGCGTAGGGCTTGAGCTGAGGGAAACAGCCGAGCGTAGCAGACACCTCGCCGCGGCGGTTAAGTATTTCAACCGCTGGCGCATAGATGGGCGGCGAGTCAACAGCTGTGCGAACTTCGGCAATATCTGCTCCTGCTTTTAGCATACCGAACGGGGCGCCAAATGCCAGATCCCCAATGGTGTCGAAGGCAACGTAGTTGAACCATTTTAGACAATCTACATAGGCTGTTTTATCTCCCTTTGGTGAGCTTTCGATAAGCTCATCCCATCTCTTCACAAACATCTCGAGATTCTCATAAATGTACGGCTCAAACTGAGATATGGCCTTCGGAGCGAATGTGCTTGAGACTAGCTTCCTCTTGCGAGTATGCTCGGCGCGGTCTCGAGTATTGAATAGACCGCGCCGGATAGACACGAAGGCATCGTAGAACTCTGACTTGAGGAACCCGTTTCCGTGGCCGTAGATGACCTGGATAGCCTCGTCGTCGGCAACGCTCACATGGTTTGGCTGGATACGAACGATCGGACCCAATTTCTTATGGACCTTATCCACGGCGAGATAACGCCTTCCCCGCCTACATGCGTAGAGGAGCCACAGATTGGTGAATTGGGCTGGGAAAGGCGTAGGAATACCTCGAAGGTGACCGTTCGTCGCTAGGTATGAGCGGACATAATAGGCTACAACAGCAAGACATCCAAGGGCCAATGCCCAAGGCAATGGGATCTGATCGATGATTGACATATTGGCGGTCTATAGCGTAAAGGCAACTCGATGTTGAAAATGTGTTGAAAACGCGAGAGTCAAATTCCTCTTTCAATTACACCAGTTCTTCTTCACACTCCTTATAGGAATCTTAACGGCTAGTTAGCATTAGCCCTGTAGTATATTCCAAAGGTGTAATGCGGAGATCTGACCTTGGTGACACCCCTCAAATAATACCTATAGGCATCATCGGTTGTCAGACTCGGGTTCTACAAAGTCACTGCTAGAGACGGGTGTAGTCCGGATTATGTACGGTAACTACAGGTTGTGGATCGCAGGGGCACCAAAGAGCGCTGAGTTGTAGGTTGAACTGGTTGATCATAACACCTTCCAGAAATCAAACCCTGTACGGCAGACAGGCACGGCTAAGGCGCATGTAACGTCTAATCGCCGAAACTAACTAACCTTAACTAACATAATAACACATGCTTACCTTAGGTACCTTTAAACTCTATTAGCCAATGACGTGAGCTTCAAAAAAAGAAATCTTGGGAAGGAGCGCATTATGGGTAGGGTATTTATGTGAAAAGGATGCAATTCACCCCTAGAACACCTTTCACTTCACTAACCCTGACCCCGGCTCACAGCCGCGTCAACAATTGGAACTAACTACTCAACAAGCACATAAAATGGTTGATTGCGACTCACAATGTACTTGTATCATAGGTGATAACTATTACGAAAACATCTTAGTGACAATACTAGCGATTTTTGAAGATACGACCCGTATACTGCGACGATGAAGCCGAATGCACTATTTTGGTACGTGGAAACCCCGCACTCGACATTACGTAGGATAGTTGAGACACTATTGTAATGCATGTAGCTAAAGGATTTATGCATTGAATCGTGTATATGATATTGTGATGCAGTACCGACACTCTTCCAAAGCTGATAGGACAGATATCAAGTCCTATATTCCTGAGTGAGTCGTATTGGATATTTGGCCACACGATAAAAAGGTAGAGCAGAGCCTATAATGAATGTCCTAGGTTAGTCTGTTATGAGCGGATACAATCACCTAATATTCCCATTCTGATGTGATTGATTGACGGGATTTCTCATCCGATCCCGATCCTTGGCTATCGTCTGTGGATGATTCCGGGCCTCGGTTATTCGCGTCTGAAATACTGGGTATTTCACGTTACCGACGGCAAGGACAAGCGGGAAGCAGGTACAGTTTATGAAATAAATCAACTCTATCAAATTCACTGTGCAACTAGGTAGTAGTAATCAAACCAATCCTTAAAACTGTGATGGAAAAAAAGTCCAAGACAGGTTATATCAAATTTTGACTATTTTAGAACCCTCTTCATGGTAACCTCGTCTGACAACGCCCCTATTTGATTAATTAATTTATAGCTTGCCGGCTGTGCGGAAATCCTCAAGTGCCTCGATAACACGGGCCTTCATTGTCTTTTCACCTTCCCTTACCCACACACGGGGGTCGTACTTCTTCTTGTTCGGCTTGTGGGGACCCTCGGGGTTGCCGACCTGAGTTCTTAAGTAGTCGATGTTGTTTAGGATGTAGTCTCGGTGGCCGACGAGGTAGGCCCACTGGAGATCGGTGTCGAGGTTGACCTTGACAACACCGTGAGAGATAGCCTCGAGGAACTCTGCCTTGCTCGAGCCAGAGCCGCCGTGGAATACGAAGAAGACTGGCTTCGCCTGGCCGTCGCCGAGCTTCTGGGCAACATGGGCCTGGTGCTTGCCGAGGAGTTCGGGGTGGAGCTTTACGTTGCCCGGCTGGTAGACACCGTGGACATTGCCAAAGCCAGCAGCAATGCTGAATAGGTTAGAGATGGGGCTAAGTGCCTCGTAAATGGCAAGGATATCCTCGGGTTGCGTGTAGAGGGAGTTGTTGTCGACATCTTCGTTGTTGACACCGTCTTCCTCACCACCCGTTAAGCCGACTTCCATTTCCAACCACAGGCTCAAGGGTTGAGATCGCTTTAAGTATTTAGCTGTTGTCTCAATGTTGTACTTGACATCTTCTTCCGATAGATCGATCATGTGGCTGCTGAACAGAGGTGTACCGTGCTCCTTAAACCATGCCTCATCGGCATCAATCATGCCATCCAGCCATGGTAGTAGCTTCTTGGCACAGTGGTCACTGTGTAGGACAACGGGGACACCGTAAACAGGAGCAATTGCGCGGACAAAGTGGGCGGCAGCAATGGCACCAGCAACGGAGGCTTCTTGGTTTGTGTTTGAGATGGACTTGCCAGCGAAGAAAGCTGCACCTCCATTGGAAACCTGAATAACAACAGGTGATTTCGACTCCTTAGCGGCCTCTAGGACAGCAATGACAGTAGAGGACGAGGTCACGTTGACGGCGGGGAGAGCGAACTCGTTCTCTTTGGCATACTGGAACAACTAATGGAAGCATAAGTTAGCTACATGAAGCAAGTATCACAAATTAGTTTAGTTACCTTGTAGACATCCTGGCCGTAGATGACACCAGGCTTAAGATTCAACTTTTCAATCAAACCCATTGTGAATCTAAGGCGACTGCGACGGTGATAAATGATAATTGGGAAGGAAGGTATAGGTAATGAGGTGCGCTACGACGAGATAAAAGTGTTGACGAAGGTATTAGTACCTGTTGTGAATTTGGTAAAAAGTCTGAGGGAATTAAAACAGTGACGACAAAAGGTTGAAGAAAGAAGAAGAGGGGGGCTATAAGGGCTGAAGGGCTATGGAGGGGTCTTTTTTCGGCCAGACTTGATCCACGGTGACGCAGACGGCCGAGATTTATTATGGAGAGCAACTACCCGAGTTATTTCGTGAAGTAAACTTGTATCATGCCCTGAAACATTCTGGCCAAAGCTTCCATATTTTTAGGTGGCTTCTTTAACTTCTTTGGCTTTCTACTAGTGGCGCATTTGCCGTCCCGAGTACTTCGCGGAGCAATGGACACCGTCTTAGGTACAGCTCTTTCTCAGAATACATCTACGTAATACCTGTCGGCAAGCTTCGACGATTTTACCCCTCCAATCCTCAGGAGCTGCCCGGGAAGTCAAGGTGGGGTAACCCGCATACTTCTCGGTGCAACCAAGCAAATAATATTCAACATTTTACCAATGAATTATGACATGTCTTCTAAGATTGAGATATTATAGACGCCAGCTGTAAGCTTCGCGAATGAAGGATGTCCACATCCATATTTTTATGTTAATCTTGAAGCTATGTTGAAGTCAATTGCGGAGCATCTTTCATCATAGTACATTAATACCAGTCAACAAACAGAAAAAAAGGGTCCGCCAAGCCCCGCCACTTACATCCTCTTATTAAACCTCTTATCTTATCAATAAATATCGTAAGCATGCGGGGCCCAGTAAACCCAGCAAGACATTCGACCAACTTCCAACACATCTTCTGGCGTAGTTATTGCATATTTCAATTATACTTTTCTTTTATTTATTCAAATTTAACAGGTACCTAGGTAGGTAGATACACAACAATACCAACTAGATGCTTATATTTTCAACTGTCTTAAATCTTCTTTCATCAACTCGATCATCACCCTTTAATTTACGGTATGGATGCGTTATTAGTTAAAGCGGCATTAAGCTACTTAGGGTACCTTAGTGTAAATGAAGTTGAAATTGCCATTAATAGCTCAAATCAACCCATAGGTATTATTTCTTATCGAGTCTTTTCTTTTTCAATTAGATTGTTTACGTAAAGTCTCACTACGTGAAAAAATTTCCTATAATGGAAAGTTGATGCCGGCGTAACATGTACTTGTAAAGTCGTTATCGTTTGATTAATCCCACAACAATGGGAATGAAAAAAAGGGGTCGTCATTGCTGACTGACACTGAGCAAAGACAAACACGTCAAGGCATATCTACATCCTAACTACCTTTAGATATATAGGCTTTTTCGTAATAGCTAGTTCCTTCATCTCTATAGCCTTCCGCTATCATTGTTATGCATTGCTATTATCAGCATTTTTTTTTCATATTCTCTCATGCTAGCGAATGTGGAACTTGGCCACCAAGTCCACTCTCCACACTAAGTCATATAGTGCAACGACAAAATTTCAAAAATACCTATAGCACAGTGTAACTCACGATACTATCACCAGCATTACCATCATCAAATGGCGCAGTGGCGGAGTGGTCTAACGCGCAAGACTGTTAGTCTTCTTCCCTTTCGTGTAAACTGTCCAGTAATTTTCTAACATTTTCCAGAGAAATCTTGTTCTTTCGGGAGCGTCTGTTCGAATCAGGCCTGCGTCGTTGCAATGAAACTTTTTTTTCTCGGTCTCTCAAGATCCAACTGGATTACTCAACACATTTTTGCTATTTTAAAATATCTAACTTTATCTTATGAATATAAAGTTGGTAACTACCTAGGCAGTTTACATTCTAGATAAACCTGCTAGTAAGAAATATAGGAGGTGTCCGGCTTCAAAAGTTTACCTGTCTTAATCCAGCCCCCTTATTGTACGTACTTTTATTATGATTACATCTTAAAGAAGGTAATTTATTAATTTGATATGGTAATCCATCATTTAAGTAACAAGAGTTTACAAGTCACTATGATTAAAACCAATTGAAAGAAATTGTCTTCGAATGTTCTACAGGTGGACAAATATAAAAGCGAATGCAGGAACGCTCGGTATAAAGAACGCAATATTCCAATATCTACTACCTTTCATCTATTTTACCAAGTTTAATTTCTTTCTCTACACTAGCGCTTAGTATCATTCTCGGTAAACTACACGCCTAGTGGCTACTGTAAACCCAGTAATATGGATTTGGAATTAGATTTGCACGAAAGAAATAGTAAAGTGTACATGGATACGCAGCACTTACACCTGCAGTATCTTCTGTTCCTTAACTCAACGGAGCCTACTTGGAAAGCCGAGCAGCTCTTTGACGAGTTTGAGAAGGATGTCGGCGTCCAACCGTCTACACTTGCAATGCGACTTTTACTTATGTTTATACACGTGTAGGTAAATAAATGGCACCTAAAGTTGTATCTGTTTAGATAATTCAAGTGTAGTGATATCCCTAATTATATTATTACAGTGCTACTAGCAGTGCAACTCGATAGGTAGGTAGCCTTAAGGAAAAAAGGAATAATTCCGTATACGAACGATAAAAGTCATATAAACTTTCCTACCTATAAATGTGTTTATTCATCGAACTTTATTTAAGTATTATATTATATCTACCGTAACTATGACTTTAAATATGAGTCTTAGTGCCATAACACGTATTGTGTTCATTGCCAAAACAACTCCTTAATCCTAAACATGTGTGATCCATTATGAAGTATCAATATATTTCTCATCTCTCATTTACTAATGCTAAAGAAAGATGAAAAATCGTATGAAAGTTGAAGCGAGGAGGAGAGGAAAATATATGTAATGAATAAGAAATTGTAATATTGGACCTGAGTCAAAATATAACATACTAAATTTAGGTATGCAATAATTTTATATCAAGTCAGAAAGACTAAGAATTATGAATGAATGTTACAATTTAAGATGAGGACTAGGTACCCAAGGTCGACTAGTAGAAGATATCTCTACAATAGGGTGTAAGAATTATATAAGAACTTGAACCAGGTAGCAATGAGTCCATGGCATCGAGCCATAAGTAATTCCTGAAGAAAAAAGCTTGATTACTCCAAATAACAAGTAATGAAGTTGTGGTGTTCTCTGCTTCAACGGAGTCCGACCCCACCGGCGGCCTCCGAGGATTCCGTATTGTATCCGTGATGAGAGACTATTTATTCGCCCTTATTACAACATATCAAAGTGATAGATGTATACTTGGAACCATAGCCTTAAACTTGAATTGGCTACCTGATACCAACTATTTTCGAAAAATCTATAGACCCTAGCCCTAGCCACCACGATGACCTTCGATACAACCGTCCCTCCTAAGATGAATTGTATTACGGCGGATGTAGTAATTATTGGGGCTGGCCTCAGTGGCCTCCAGGCAGCTGTGAATATACAGACAGCTGGTTTTACATGCTTAGTTCTAGAGGCTACCGACAGGGTTGGTGGCAAGACATTAAGCATCAAGTCCAGCTCCAAACAAGCCGGTATAAATGATGCCGGAGCTACGTGGGTGAATGATAGTAACCAGTCCGAAATATGGAAACTATTTGAGAAGTATAATGCTGGCGCGGTTATCCAAAGAGCTACCGGCACGAGCTTTCAACAAGCCGAGGATGGCAGTACGATCTCACGCCCTTATCATAAGGAATCATCAGTAAGTTGAACAGCTTACCCAAGACGAAACATTAGAGTTAAAATAGCGAAGCTAACGCTACATTATCTACGAAGGGTAGAGATGATGCTCGAGCTAATGAAATGCGTCGTATATACGGAGCAATTCATGAAGCCGTTGAGACGTCGGATCTCGAGCATCCTGAGATTAGTGCCAGTGCTCAAAGGCTTGATACCATGACATTCGCCGAGTTCTGTCAGGAAGCTGGTCCTAATATAGGCACTGGAATTGCTTCAGTAGCTACTGCTGCTCTACTTGGTGTTGAGGCCCACGAGGTCAGCGCTTTATTTATGGTTAACTATATCAAGAGTGGATATGGTATACGGGTAATTACATCAGATGAGAAAGATGGGGCGCAGTACATCAGAGCCCGACGCGGTATGAAAATACACCACGTCTTACAGGTACTACGAGCGAGAGCTGACATTGATAATTAATTATGTTATAGGTATGCAAGCTATATCAGAAGGCCTTGCCAGTGAATTGTCCCAAGGCTCTCTTCACTTGAGTACAGCGGTAAAGTCCATCCAGGAAAAAGATGATGGGCTTTATGAGATCCATTCCACTGTGCCCAAGATTTTCAAAGCCAAGCGTATAGTGGTGTCTGTACCAACCAGCTTATATCATACCATCCAATTTACGCCGCCGCTGCCGGAGAATAAGCAAAAGCTAGGTCAGAGCACCGCCCTCGGACACTTCAGCAAAGTTGCGTTAGTCTTTGAGGAACCATGGTGGCATACAGCAGGTCTATCAGGTGTGATGACCTCTTATAAAGGGCCTGTATCCTTCACCCGAGATACCAGCGTACCAGAAGACGATCAATGGTCAATAACCTGCTTTATCGTAGGCGACACGGGACGCGCTTGGAATAAATACCCGGAGGCAGAGCGCCGAAATGCAGTCCTTGAGCAGTTTAACTCTGTCTTTTCCACAGCGACAGTTGTCCCCAAGCCTATTGCTGTTCACGAGCGGATCTGGTCTGAGGAGCCGTACTTTCTTGGTGCTCCATCTCCCGTAATGGGCCCCGGGGTGCTAACATCACTTGGCTCGGACGTACTGCGGGCGCCCGTCGGAAATATCCACTTCGTCGGTACAGAGACTTCTATAGTATGGAAAGGATACATGGATGGTGCTATTCGTTCAGGACAGAGAGGAGCAGAGGAAGTTATCACGAGCCTGAGAGGATAAACATTAATTATGCGTTTATGCGTAAATGATTAATCATATTTTCCCTGGGCACTTGACTTAGACACTTCGGTATGGGTTCAACAGTGGGCAAGGAGAGGGGGGGGAAACTAGATACAGTCATGGAACTTAAAATTGCTATGATATTCTTCTACTTGAGTCGCGTTTCCATTCTAATTTGATAAATACAAGTTTCAGTGCGACACATTAATTTTTCAAAAAAAAACCCTTTTCGAGAATAAATTGTTAGATGAGTTAGAACTTACTCGATCACAGCTGTCTATCAATCAAAGAGTTTTCCATTCAAGCTTGACACGTCAGGAATCCAATCCTACGACAGTTGCAAACGGAGAACTTTCTTTTCGATCCGATCCTCACAGTGTAAGAAATTGACCAATAATGTCAACATGCTGAAATACACAGACACGGCTTACTGCAGGCTGTAATTGCTGTATGACCTGATCTTTCTTGGGCCTCACAACCTGGCCGTCGCAGCCTGTAAATAAAAACTTGATTCTCCCCCTTGCTCCATTATCTCTGATTCCTTTTACTAGGACCGTCTCTAAGGAACCGGATATAAGCCAACATAGAGTTGCATATAAGAACAGACCTCTATTTTTATTTCGCAACTTATACCAATCTCCCCGCATTTCACTATTACAAACACTCAGACTTTACACTCAATCCGAGATTACGAATATCTACAGAGGCATCACACTTACGAGTAATAAATAGAGGACATTGATAATGGATAGAATGGCCGACTCTGTGGAAAGATATCGGAACTGGATGCGGCAGAACCCGAAGCAAACCACTGCCTACGTAGTCGCTGGCGTTGCGGTCGCAGCACCGATGGTTATCGCCGGCCCGATTTTAGGTGCTTTGGGATTTGGAGCAACCGGCATTGCAGCAGGTATATTTTCAATAATTATTCTCACCTTTTAGTTTAATTGGAAGAGAAACGTGCCTAGGTAACTGACCTGTATTTTTTATTAGGCTCTGTAGCGGCCGGCGCCCAAACTGCGAATGTAGCAGCTGGAAGTCTGTTCGCTATACTTCAGGTTAGTATTTTGAGATCTTCCGAACTCTAAGACCTGCCCATAAATTCCGAAGAACCCCATTTCAGAGATGGCTAAATATCATTTGACAATTAGAGCGCTGGAATGGGCGGTTATGGAGTTGCCACTGTAGGCGGTATTGTCCAAGGCGGAGGCATCATCAGTGCCATTCTTACCGCCCTGAGATCTAATACTCTCGATCGGCGAAGACTTAACCCTATTGAGAATATATGGGGCTCACCAAATGACTATGGCGACGACGACGCGGATGAGGATGACTCGGATTCTAACCCTACGTCAAAATACGATTTTTTGAAAGCTGCGAACCGGGTCTGGGCTGGGTTTGTAGTTGAGAAACTGATAAGCATAATGAATATGATGCCTCAGCTAATCGAACGTCTTAAGGAAATGAAGGATTCAATGTTGGGATACTAAGTTGAGTATACGCAAATCTGTCGCACAAACGGCTACTGGGTTTCTAATTTGGCTATTCTTGGGGTTGAGAATAAAAGTACTCTGGCATGAAATTCATCTTATTATATCGAATATTGACATTGTGTGTTTCTTTGCGCTCCATCTACTGAGATATTAATACAATCCTTTGAAAATGCCAGTTTCGACTCAGTTCGTTATAAAATTTCATACAGTCTTAAGCTTCACGAAACACTGTCGAGGCGATCGAAGCAACTTCTGAGTGACCTGGAAACTGTTGAACTCTGGAGGTACGGGTAGAAACTTGAAGCTCATCACAATCGACACAACCATGATACGTATCTCCATCATGGCTAAGCGTTTCCCTGTATGTATTCAGTCAAGTCGGCCCTCACGAAACATACATAAGCATGCCAGTAAGAGCATAGGCTCTTATCAAGAACTTACCAAAGCAACCTCTAACTCCGCCCCCGAAAGGGTTATGAATGACAGCAGTTGGATCAAAGATTTCCTTCCCGTCCTTGTTTATCTTAAGCCATCGCTCTGGGATATATTTATCGAAATCTTGAGCACTAGGGGTCTGTGTCCAATCTACCCCGCCGCTCTTTTCGAGCGCAGCCTGACTTGATAAACTACGTCTCTCTTCAGGTACGGGTATCGGATGCCAGTTCGCTGATGTGAGACCCCAGACTCTTGTACCAGCGGGTATTCTATGGCCGAAGATCTCGGTATCCACTGTTGCAATACGCATAACTCGAGGTGCAGTGGCCCCGCACCGAAGGCTTTCCTCGATTACTGCGTCTAGATACGGTATGTTCTTGGCGAGGAGGTCTGTGATGCTTGGTAGTGAATCACCAGGGAAAGCTATTCTTAATGCTTCCCGAAGCTTCGCTTGCGCTCCTTCGTTGTTGGTTATGTGCTTTACGAACCATTGTACTGTAGTAAGTTAGCCAATGTATCTAGCCTAACCTAGGTATCATAAGGAAGACATGATAGATATAAAATAATAGGATATATTTGGATCTTACATGTTGTACTTGTGGTGTCATGACCCTGTGTGCTTGTTAGCTTAATGGTACCCTAATCTTGTTGAAGAGTAGTGAACTCACAGCATATATGAACAGCAAGAGCTCGTCCTTCATCTTCGCGTCTTTAGTCGGATCTGGAATGGGTTTCCCAGCCTTTTGGGCGTCATATATGCTTCTCCTAATTACAAGATCCATAGCACACGTATCGTGTTCCTCGCTATCCCTCGAGCCATTATGTGCTATTTTAAAACGTGAAAAGGCGTCGAAAAGGATTCGGCCGAGCTCTCGGTCTTTATCCGCCATATACTTACGATACTTGGAACTTCTTTGAATCCACCATCGAGTCAATGCTGGCCAGAATCCTGTTAGTGTTTCGCCAAACTCATTGATGTATTGAGCCGTGGTATGTGCATATGAACCTTTTGTCTCAACTTGTTTCCCCGTTTTGAGCATCTGGATCTGGGAGTCGACTAAGTCAAGCGATTCCCCGAACGTCGCTACCCAAAGGGTGTCAAGTGTCGCAAAGGAGAAATCCATCCGAACATCAATTGGCTGATCATCTGAATGTGCACACCGCATATCCCAGAGCTTTATTAGGTCCTTGACGGCGCTATAAGTATTCTTTGCGACTACGCGATGGAGAAAGTTGGGATGCATGGTATCATGCCAGATTCTTCTCTGTTTCTTCCATTCGGGAGTTGTTGCTTGCGCAATAGTAGAATATGGGACCAATGTTCCGAAAACTCCTTCAGTTATATCTCTATCGAATTCCTTCGTTCTCCTTCGAATCAAATCAGCCAACTCTCGTGGATCATCGACTATAACGAGAGGCTTGGAAAATGGGTTCATGAAGAGCTGGGAAACCGGTGATTGAAGCTGAAGCGACTGGCGGCGAACTATGGGGTAAAGCCACTCTGTCAGCTCCTTATACGTAGCTGAAATTCTCGGGGAGTCTCCTGTAATCCTCTTGACCGCATCCTTGTCGTATGGTATCCCGGGTAGAGGGTGCGGATAGAGAAATCTTCTCGCCAATAGTGGGATGAGGGTGACGGTAAGTATTCCGCCTATAATAATTAAGAAGCTCATTTTGTATTATAGTCGTGACTTGTTAATAGTTTGCTTCCGCTCAAGTTACGTTTATATAGCCTAATTAAAAAGTATGATTACTTATAAGAGGTATTCGAAGATGAAGTAAGTGTTAAAAACCCTTCAATATCGAGATCTATAAGCATCAAGCGGTATCGCTAACTAGGTACGTACATTACGTCGGAATATGTGTGCTTTGGTAAAGGGGAATCATAACACGTAATTGTGATACCCGCATACATCTCTTCAATCTACTATTATCAAATAAAGTTTCTTGAAATCTTCCTTTGCTAGTGGTTGCTTCGAATTCGGAACTGAGATAGATATTTGAGATAACCGATAAATCTTGGATTGGTTGAAAAGATAAACTCTCTAAGTTCTATCGGCGAGCTGCACGAGATATATCTAATTAGTGTAACGTAATACCGGATTCTTGGAACTAGATATGCAAACTAAATCAAGGTTGACCTCATGAGGTTGAGGTTGTATATGGTAGTAATCAACCTAAACTTCCGTGGGTATCTCACTAATGTTCTAGGCCGGAGACATGCTATATGAATTTAGTAACTCATTGTAATATGTTATCCCTCGTAAATGTACATAATAAACAAAATTAACGAAATTAAAAATTATTTACCTGTATTGCTTGTACGACTGACTAACATCAGCAGATAAATATTTATTCCCATCCACTGTGGCCCTATAGGGGATTGCTAGCGGTGATATGGGGGCTCACTGGTAACTGGTAGAGTTGCTATAATATACTCCCCTTCCTCATATTACGAAATTAGGCCTTGGTACCCTTGGATGTAATAGCAATATTGATTGATTATATAGGATATCAAGCTCCAGCTAACTCCTGAAACGCCATATGAATAAGCTTTATTTACCACCTCTGAAAGATTAGTAAATAACTGTACAGTTATCTCAAACATAGCTGCTTAAGGACCAATGTTTAAATTTTACTATAATTGCTCTTTTTACTGAGCCCAAATAAAACTTTTAGATTGAAAGGTTTGGTACCAGTACCTTGCCCATGAAACTCGCTTTAATATAATTTACCTACCTAGCGATAAGCTTGACGAAGGGGGCCTCTTAACTAGTGATCTCTGGATGGTCATTTTAAGTATCTCTTAGGTAGGGCGTAGATAGTATATATTTATCTTTTAACAAGTTCGTAGTTATTATTACTCCGTAGCTTGATAAATATCAGAGATGTCGTTCCTATTCAGTCTCTCGTATCTATCTCCATTAGTCATCCCATGCACATTTAATGAAGTGAACTAATTTATAAGGCTCTTCGAGCTGACCCATCAAATATGCAAGTGGATAAGCGAAGTATGGCATCCATCGATAAATCTGGCCCTATGGGGTAAACCAGGGGTAGAATCCTGTCTTTGACAGATTGTGGAGAGGCCAGCGAATTTCTCCAAGTTCGTCTCCAAATGTATTTCCCCGGTCCCCATTCTCAAAAGAGCTCCCTCTTAAGAAATGGTGAAGTTCGGGGACATTTACCCCGGCCTTTCGTTAGATTAAACAATGTACATTAGAATAAATTCAGGTGTTGCGCCTCGCATTAGTTAACGTCGTTGTATTACAATTAACTTGTCTTCTGTTCCGTGGAGAATCATGGCCTTTTTGTTCCTTGGTCTCATATTGCTATCAGATCTAGCCTTTGGAAAAATCAATAGGTATGTATAGCTTGAGTGGAGGAGTAGTATAATATTATAAGTTTATTTGATCTAATTTCACCTCCAATAAAGGCAGGATATTGTTAGCAAGTACAATGTTAAGAGGGAGAAGCTAATCGATAATAATACCACCCCTTTACAAGTGGGAAATGGTAATTTCGCATTCAATGTTGACAATACGGGGATGCAGGTAACGAAATTCTCCGGGTAATCGCTAAGGATGCAATGCTGATAATAGTACTAAGACTATCTTACCTTTTAACACACTGTCTAGCTGGGCGTGGCATAATGATTCTGTACCGACAGACAAGTATGTTACCCACTTAACCCTTTTTCTATCATGGTTTTCTAATGTGTAACTATACAGTGAATTAATTAGCGACTACCACGGCGTAGAAATGATCACGCATGGTAGAAATGTCTCTTATGATATCCCCGACTCTAATCTCCCGGAAGTTTCTCAGTGGCTCATTTCTAATCCTAATCGAATTAACCTAGGTCGTATTGGCCTCAGGTACCAGGGAGCTACATTAGCAGCTTCACAGATCACGAACGAGGTCCAGGAGCTCGACTTATGGAACGGAGTTATAACTTCTACGTTTGATATTTCCGGGAGGAGCGTCAAGGTTATTACCTAGGGAGACTTCGGGTCTGATGCGGTAGTTTTCCGTGTTGAATCACAGCTTCTAGCCTCGGGTGACCTAGACATTGAACTTGACTTCCCTTATCCGCCAATACACACTACGAAGTATAAGTATGAAGTTTTCGCTGGTGTATATAAATTTCCTCTTAACCATACTACTTCTATTATTAAAAGCTACAAAGTGGACGAGGCACATATCTATCATGAGCTACAAGAGACGAGTTATTTTGTAAATTTACGCTGGTCCGTCGGAAGTCTACTTAACATCTCGAGAGTCGAACCGCCTGGATCAGATACTCTCACTGCCCACCGCTATACTCTGTCAGCAGCATCCAAGACTCGCTATCGATCGAATACCATAGAATTTACTGCGCATTTTTCTCCAGATAAACAGACAGCTGCACTTCCATCAAGTATCCAAAAAAGAAACTCCAGAGAGTGGAACCAGTATTGGGAGGAGGGCGGTTTTGTTGATTTGACATCTTCTTCGAATACGAAAGCGGACGAGCTCCAGCGACGTATTATCTTATCCCAATATCACGTTCGAGTGAATAGCGCAGCGACAGGCCAGTCACCACAAGAAAGTGGATTGATGAATAACGGGTGGTATGGTATGTGTAACCTCTTGGTGCTCATTATAACGTACTTGTCATGGAACTAAATTTATGTAGGGAAGTTTCATATGGAAATGGTTGTTTGGCATAATGCTCATTGGTCGACGTGGGGTCGACAGAAGTATTTTGATAATATCTTCCCTGGATTGTACGAGACTCTGTTACCTTCGTCGATGGTGAGAGCAAAGTTAATGGGATGGGAGGGAGCTAGGTGATTCGGTTCCGAAAACCCCTGGATACATACGATCGACAACTAACAGGAAGCTAACTAGGTGGCCAAAGATGACCGAAGTTGACACCGGAGTTAGCTCGCCGGGTGGCATCAATGGTCTACTTTTATGGCAACAGGTACGTTAAAGTTATTATTTTAGTAGCATCTCAACTGACACAACCCTCCTTTACAGCCTCATTCCATGTACATGGCAGAACTAGCGTACCAAGCTTCTCCTAGACGAGAGACTTTGAAAAGATGGGATTCCATTGTAAGTGCCGCTGCCGATTACATGGCTTCTTATGCTTGGAAAAATGAGAGCTCGGGGCACTATGACCTTGGTCCGCCTAGTTATGGAGTAACAGAGAACACACCTCCAACCGAAACGCTGAACTTAGCTTATGAAGTAAGTGGCGTACTTCCCGGCTCTCCTGGAATCGTACACAGTGCAGCTCATATTTAATACCTAGATTGCATATTGGAGATATGGACTAGACGTTGCGCGTGAATGGAAAAGGAGATTAGGTCAACGTATTCCTGAAAAATGGATAACCGTCGCGGAGAATCTGGCCCACCCACCTCAAGTTGGTGGCTTATACGCTGTTTATGAGGGTCTAAATAGTTCCTGGTGGGAAAATCCTAAACTTAACGGAGATCCTCGAAGCCTCATTATGCTTCAGGGTATTCTCCCTGACACGCCAGCAGTTGACCCTGACGTTGCACTTAAGACGGCGGATAAGATCTGGGAAGTATGGACCGATGACAAGATCCGCGGGTGGGGCCGACCCGTACTGGCGATCAACTCTGCTAGAATTGGCAATCCAGAGCGTGCTATCTATCATATGACAGCATATGACTATTGGATATTCGACGACGCAGGATTTGCTGTGAGAGGAGGTGATGGTAAGCTTCATCTACAATAAACGAGATTCCATCCTATCATTCTAACAGTTGTATATAGGTGGCACCCCTCCTCCATTCATACCAGGTAACGCAGGATTCCTTTATGCAGGTGAGCACTCTTGATAATCTCGTCGAAGTCGTTAGGGTTATTAACGAATAATAATTTAGTCGCGTATATGGTTGCCGGTTGGAATGGATCCACGGAGGATGCTCCGGGTTTTCCCAAGGATGGAACTTGGATTGTTAAGCATGAAGGTTTATTAAAGGCACTTTGAATGTTAAGAACAGCTTCGTACATTAGGAGGTACATTAGGTACCTAAAAAGCTAGAAATCTACCTAACTAAAGAGGTACCTAATGATAATAAACTCAGTACCTAGCGTACTCTTATCATCCCCGCTTCTATCATCCCCACTTCGGGACAGCCCGAGATTTATGACGTATGTGCTTTCGAGGCGCGTAGCTTTTATCTCAAGATAGAAATCGTAGTCTTAATCTTAGTCTCATTAGGTTCTTTCTAAGCACTATGAGCCGGCGATTGGAAGCATTCATCCGTAAACCAGAGAGCTGCTTATTTTATTTTACTCCATGAATTCAATATGGCTAGAATTTGGTATCGCACATTCCGAGATTTCTTTTCCACTCGGCGTCTCTGGCTGTTTCCTCTTCTTGCTGGTTTATCTTGGTTTTTGACGCTCACTATTTTACTGGTGAGATGGCTTGCTATCGGCCGTCCCCAATATCCCGGACAGGTGAATCCATATGTCCCGTTTATTAGCGACATTGCTGCCCATCAGTTTAAGCCCGTTTTCATAATTGGGTGTGCAGCTACCGGAGTTACGTTTCTTGGAACCATGTTCTCGGTACATCATGTACGCTATTCACCTAATTTCTACGGACTGACAGACGACGCCCCGTGGCGACAGACCATGAGTTTAATTGCGCAGATTGCTGGCATTACTGCTGCTGTTAGCTTAATAAACCTTAGTATCTTTGATACAGACGACGCGCATGTACGACATCGACACCTTCTTATGGGTACATTTGGAGGCCTTTTCGCGAGTGCGGTAACTACTACTGCTGTGTGGTGGGATCAAATTTGGGGTCCTATGGTGTTTGTGGGCTTGAGGAAATGGTATGTCTCATTGGAAAAAAAAAAGATCTTGAATTTGAGAGAGCTGTGACGTTAACACGGCCAAAGGTGCATCTTCAACACAATTCTAGTGACCTGTCAGTTTGGTTGCGGACTAGCATTCGTAATTCTCATGTATGGTGGTTATTTTAAGTCCTCGGGCATACTTGAATGGTGCCTGACCTATCTCGGTTCCTTTTGGCTCGTTTCGTTTGTCGGATACACAATGTGAGTTCATGAAAGTTAAAGGTACTGGCCTATCAGTTCTAACAAGAGATATAGGTTCAGGGAAGGCGATCGTCCTGTGTTTGAGGATGATGCTGAGCAGCAACCACTGTTAACATAAGTTTTCATATAATACAAAAGAGTAAGTTTAGACCTAGACTTTCTGATACGATATAGACACCATGATATTACTACCCCATTCCGTATTTAATATTGTCTTTATCTAGTGGCTAAATAATTAACTTTATTTAGACTATTACAAGCATCGTGTAAGAATCTACGGGTATAAAATTGGGGTGAGATAGGCCATGAGCTTGTCAACTTGATGATATCTTTATAATAAATATCTCTATTATCTGTATTAGTTGAGGAGATTTAAGAGGTAGTTTCCTCTTATCTACTAACTAGAGCTTAAAAGTTGCTCATGTGAGGTCCTGCTCCGGAAAAATCAAGGGACTAAAACTCATAAATTTACCAAACGAAAACATAGTCAGATATAGTTTAAAAATGAATTTAAAAAGGGGCTATGAAGTGCGGCGGTGTTTATGTAATGGCGTATGGTCTAGGTACATAACTTGCGGAATATACCCACTTTTATTAGCGTCACGCATTTATCACAGACACGCTTCTGGTCCGTGCACATGTACCCAGAAACTTATACAAAATTTCTCCTCCAGTAGCGCTATGCCGATTACGCATCACGTCTAGCGCATCGATAGGAAAAAAGATAAAAATGGCTTCATCATCCAAACCATATTCGCTTCAACTAGCTGAACGCATCCACAATACCACCGGCAAGGATAAACTTGGTCGCATATGTTCTGCGGGCTTTATCTTAGAATCATCATGGCATTCAGTCGTTGAGAGGAGATTCTTGAACACACCGCCTCAAGTTGTGAAGAAGGCTTTGCTTAGAGCAGGTATCTTCTGGACGGTGTTATATTTTGGTACCGGTGAAGCATTGAAATGGGCCGAGCGGAAAGTCAAGAAGGCCGAGGAAGGCCGGCCATGAAAACGAGTGGGCAATCGGAAGAATATCTCCTCCCATGGGAATTATATAGGCCGACTCTTTTACATCGGTCATTTGATACCCTTTGTCGTCATGCATGAACAAATATTGTAGGGGCACTCATACGCCAGCACATAAGGGCAATATATTGCTTCCCGAAGGACATATCATGATACCTGCGAATGTCACGAGTTTTATACCGTCAGCTCCAAGTTAGCGCGATGTTTTTCTTATACGCATTTTATCTCGGGTATCGGACTGGTTCTAGGGGGAAACAAAGCGACTATGACAGCAACAACTTAGAGATGAAGTCTGCTCAATAGAATTAAGTAGATGCCGAATGACGCGAATAAATATCGTTTAAGCGGAGGGGATCATTATTAGCGATGGCAAGATACTGCTAGATAAATTGATCACCATAAAAACACTGGTTCTCGTAGGAATTATGGTTGAACATCCACAGGCTATCATAGTGCCAAGCTAGGTGAAGATATCATCAAGTTGTGTGGAATTGCGGCATCAAACATTGGAGAACCACCAGTAATGAGAGAATGATGCGATCAGCCCAACTAATCACGTCAACTCCAATGCCCTTCACTGGATCCACAAATTTCAATCCGTCCCAGTTTGGCCAGACAGCCTTACGCAATGGAAACCATCGTCGTACAATCACGACAGTCTAATGCTGCCCCAACTCTCGCATGTTGTATTATATATGTTTATATATCGAGATTCGGGGCCCCCTAATGGATTTCCAGGTGCACAAACCCCCGTCCACCTGGTATATACTATCTTGCTTAACTCCGGTATTAACTCTTGCTCTCTGGATGTCGGAAACTATAAAATACTAATCTAAGAAGTCGTGCCTCTTGGCAGTCATGGTTGAACCTCGAATCTGTAACAACTATACCGAATTTTATGACGAGAGTAGCACGGATATTCAGTTTGGGTCGAAAAAGCTTACTCGAAGTGCCCAGCTTTTAGCCTACCAACTACCTAGCCCCTAAACTGAATCAGCAAGACCCTAAGACGAGTACAGCAAATGTCAAACTACCAATCCTTCCCACAATTTCCTCGACTACCTACAGAGATAAGGCGCCTGATCTGGGTTCATGCTCTGCCCAGAGGCCGCATCCAACTCTTTGCCAAGAATGTACCTTGGGAGAACTGGCGTCTTCTACCGCCTGTAGTTGCCCATGTTTGCCAAGAGTCACGAGAAGTTGCTGTGAACCACTCAGTTGTGCGTGGTTTCCCAACTGCAGAAGATAAACACACAACTACTTGGTTTATAGGGTCTCGTGATATACTTGAGCTTCACAGTGGCTATCCTTACCCTTTGTCGAACCCAGAGCCTTTCTTTTCTGCAGCAGAGAGATTGACAATCAACGCTGGAGACTTTGAGGGCGAGATCAAAATTATTATCAAAGATCTCATCGAAGGTCGACGGTTTCATAGCGTCAAGATGATATATCTCATTGTCGAACAGATTGAGACCGCGTATTGGCCCAAATTTCGACCGGATATGACGGAACAAGATAAAGGCAAGGGGACAGTCCTTGACTTATGCAGCGATGAGGATCAGAGAAAAATAGATGGCTATAAGGCATGGGCACGTTTTCAAGAAATGTCACCGGTCTTTCCTCGACGTCAAGATGTTGAACTTATTCTTAGGTCGAGCCTAGATAAGATCATACTAGAAGAAATATGTCGATATCACGAACGTCTATTGCAAGCTGGATACACCGAGGAAGAATCTATAGCATCATTTCCGGCAACTACTCCTATCACCCCAGATCATCCTTGGATCCTCCAACAATGGAGGCGCCTACCAGAATTCCGCCCGGCATTGTTAATCTTAGGATGGAGGTAAATCATGTCTGTATGGATGGAATAGAGAAGTGGATATAGGACTGAATAATTCTGGCTTGTTTTCCACTAGCAATATGCCCCTCGAGGAATGGTTTCATATGTCATTTCCAACTATAACACTTAGGGTAGAATAAGTTTGGATTTTTCCCCGAGTACATGTACGTTTTGGAATGGCCTCCGGGGATGTACCTGGTAGTCGACAGGGGGTCGTTGTGGCTTCAGATGTGGCTTTCTGATTAAGCGGACCGAACACTTTAGATTACTTACCTAATTCAATATCTACACTAGAATGAGGTATGAGGTACAACCACTCTTCCACTTTAAGTCCGTGCAATATTTAGCGACATTTTACCGGTGCCGAGGTGCCATCTATTCACCTTAAGCCACCTTACCTCGAAGCCACATAGGGTACTAACTTAATAACATACAACGTGTCTAGTAGGAAAGGCTAGATTGATTTATTATCGAAATGGCATCAACACAGCGATTCTCAGGATACCCACTTGCTAAAGAAGGCCCTAAAACAGCATACGTGCCAGCACAGGATAAAAATCCTCCCCTTAGAGGCTGGTCTTTGATTATTGCGGCCAAACTGTAAGCAGTATTATCTGTCCTATTCATATACGATCAATTGCTCATATAACAATCAGCGTCACATATTTTCCGTCCGTAGCTAAGGCTACATGGGGAAATGCCAAGTTTGGCTGCGTCAAAGATATACCAGGTCTAAATGAGTACGACTGGCGCCTTCAAGTATGCAACCACCGTATATTCTGATTCAGATGTCAAGTAATTGATAAGCTGAGCAGCCCATTGTCACACCACTTATAGCCGATGGCGTCGTTCAGAGTAAGGCCGAGATCACGTCTGATCTTTATGAACGACAGCCGGATGATCTAGCCGGCCGTTTTTATTCTGCTGCTGATTATCATGAGCTCTTCAAATCCAAGAAATTAACACCGCTACAAGTAGCAGAAACCCTACTCCCGCTCATAACCAGAGGCCAGGATCCCCCAGCTAAGTATGAATCGGCCTGGTCTGTTACGAAAGAAGATCTTGTACTGGCAGCAGCTAAGAAGTCGACGGAACGTTATGCTATCGGCCAGCCTCTAAGTGTTCTCGATGGAGTGCCGATAGGAGTCAAAGATGACACGGATGTAGAGGGATATATATCCCATATGGGACGGCCCTTCGATCCATCCGATCCCTTCTTTAAACCGGCAACTAGTACAATTTGGCCGGTCGCACAACTAGAAGCTGCCGGTGCTATCGTCATTGGCAAGCAGGTGATGCATGAGCTCGGTTCAGATATTAGTGGGTGTAATCCACGATGGGGGACGCCCATAAATTGGAACAACCCATTATACTATCCAGGCGGCTCGTCATCGGGCGGAGGGTCGGCTATCTCCTCCGGGTTGGTCCCTATCTCTATTGGCACTGATGCAGGAGGGAGTGTCCGCATTCCGGCCTCGTTTAACGGCGCGTACGGATTGAAACCTACCTTACATCGTGCTTACACGATGAAGTCCTCTATCTGTGTCATAGGCCCCTTGGCAGCGACAGCAAATGATCTAGCTATCGCGTACCGTATTAGTGAGTATACTCCGCCCATTCCTCAGTTACTGTAGACTGCCTCCCATAGCAAATATCTATCGCACTAGGAATCGATATCTCAAAGCCTAAGAAACCCATATACTGACCGTGAGTGTATTAGTGACGGCGCCTAACTCTGAAGATCCAATACAGGGCTCTTTCGCGTTGTCAATTCCGCCGAGTCCTTCTGCGAAGAAAACAATCGGCATTTATCGTGATTGGTTCGACCAAGCTTCCCCTGGTGTCCTTAACGTCACTAGGAAAGCAATTGCATATTTTACGGATAAACTGGGTTACGAAGTTGTTGATATTAGTATCCCCTATGTACAAGAGGCCCAGTATGCTCACAGCGCGTGGGCGCTCACTGAAGGCATTGACCATCATAATTCACACGCTATGGATCCAACGCGTCCGCTCACGGGTCTCAATAACTGTAACCAGCTTCTAATGGCCGTCGGCTCGTGTACGTCAGGCACTGATATGATCAAATATGGTCAATTGAGAGGGCTACTCATGGAGCATCTCGCGTTTTTATGGAAGAAGCATCCGGGTATGTTGATAGTCACGCCGACGGCACCTGAAGCTGGATGGTTGATCCACCCTGCCGACCAGGCGTATGGATTTAGCGACGGCAATATAACAATCCGTAACATGATGTATATCTGGCTAGCGAACTCGACAGGCTGCCCCGCGGTTACTGCACCCGTTGGTTACGTTGACCCTGAGCAAGGTGAAGGCAAGCTACCGGTCGGCCTCATGGCGATGGGAGAGTGGGGTGCGGAAGAGCAGCTTTTGGCTTGGGCAAAGGAGGCTGAGACGTACGTGAATGATGCTTACGAAGGTGGTCGCTACAGACCACAGGAGTGGGCCAACGTTGTCAAAATTGCCAAGACGGCAGAATGATGTCTAGACTTGAGCGACATGGGAGGAATCATGATATCTGTTGTATTTCTAAATTTTCATGGTCAAAACTCTTAGGAATTTTTACACAGAGATGTTCTTGAAAGATTAACTCATAGATTACGTACCTAACCTATAGAATTATTGCGTACCATTATACGTGTACCAGGAAAATAGTTCATCATAACAGGCGTTTGAGTTCTATGTTGTAACGAGGCACGCTATTAAGATACAAGAATTCTCTAATTCATATATGAACTTCCTTGTTGCCAGCTCACAGCCCAAGCTAATTCCTCGAAATTTGGTATTAATTCGCATCTTATCTAATTGCTGATTCATCCCACCACGCTTTGAAGTAAAGACTCCTTTTTGGAACTCTGGCGCGTGTCATGCATATTGAAGGGTACAGCTTGTTATCGGCCCGGCCATTCTCTATTATACATATCTCAGTGTTAAAGGGAAATACGTGATATCCTTAGAGCTATATTCTGACCTGTTAGCCGTTGTGCTCATGCAAGGCGGCTGCGGAATGTGACGGGCCGTATAGTGGATTAGGCTTGCGGACGTCGTCATCCTCAATCGGGATGAGGGTTAGCTACGCACCCTTCGATATCGGCATCCGGAAGAGGAAGGTGTTAAGAAAATTGTCTTTCATCTCTATACCCCGGAGTAGACACAATACCACCGCGCAAATAGAACATATATCAAGTTTTTTGATGAAGTATGATCTCAATTAAAGTTAGATTTTAGTTCTAATTCCTAAAGCGTCACAGGCCTTTCTATCTAATGGTTATTGTATACATATTGTCTGGTTCAACTTTGATATCAACCATCTGAATGGCCAGTTGAGTGACAACTTTTAATACGTCAGGTAGGTACGTACGTACGTAACATGAATCAACTCTCCACATCATAGTTATTTATCTGAAATAAGAGTTACAAGAACTTAAGGCACTCACTCTCTTGCTATTGTGTCATTTGGACTATACTGAGTTGATAGTGTCTGATTGAGGAGAGATCCACTATAAGAAGTAGGTACCAAGCCTCCCGATGTCACACTGCGTAACAAATACTACCGCATGAAAGTGTTTACGAGCTTTCAAAGGTATGTTATGAAGGCCCAAAATAGGCGTACATAATGCGATATATACTTCTTTAATTCTCATTTATTAGTATAGGTATTATATTTACGGGGAATAATGCCTTACAACCAGAAATGGAAAGTGGTTCGCGGTCTGGAGATAGACCCGTTATTCACATCATGCAGCATGTTGAAACCTATATGTAACTGAATTAATATACATGCTACATGCATCGTGACTTTTTTAATAGGTCTTTAGGTGAGGGCGGTAGCGCCAAGTACAAATATACCGAATGTATGAATTAGCTTAGTAAAAGTCCTATTTACGCTCACACCCTCTCCTGAGGCTCCTTTGAGAGAAGATACTAGGCTTTTGGTTTGAACTAATAATACTAGTATAATAAGAGGTACCTACCATTAAATATTTATATTTCAAAGTCTATACAGTAAACAGTTTCACGAATATTGCGTTAAAATGTGACTCAGCAATACCTACCATCTCATCGTCTTACAATCTTATATGTCGCGACCTTATTCATACAAATGCCTTCACGCGGATAAGAAGCTACGACAATTTGATCTGATCATTTCCAAGGTGTCCATTCGACTAGATCTTGCACGAGAGGGCTAATCCTTTCGGTGATCACTGCAGCTGGTCACGAAAACCTGGTCACTAACCCTAGTAGATTATTGCCTTTCATTCATGATACAAATGTAACGAAATTCTAAGCAGCAGCTTTGGCTGTAGTAAGCCATTGCTGCACTATCACGATTATTACCTTAGCGTAGCGATAGTTTTCATTTTATTATTTGCTTATATATATAGAGGAGGAATAATTAAAGATATTATCATCCTCCATCAAGATTAGGTCTTAAAAAGTCAATCACAATTCACGGCGTGGGGTTAGGTTTCATCATCGTCGAGTTCTCGGTAGATGATCCCAATGCTGCCGGCATAGAGCTTCGCTCATGTCATTGGTCATGCGAACACTTCTCTCTCAGAACCTCCAATTCGTATTGGTCCTCCTCTGCTCCATGGGCTTTGACCTCCGGGGTAGTTATGGTACCCCCACGCAGATCTAGGGCGGGCAACTTAACATGGATTATCTCGGTAACATACCCGATAAGGGTTGTAACAGTGATAGTACCGGCATCTTGGCGTCTAGAACTGGCGGCAATACTGAGCCGTCGCATTGATTTAATGAATAACAGACTGGAAGGTCTTAGGTAGCAAAGCTTGTTTCTTTTTACAGCTGTTTGGTGTTTTATTCCGACGACTTCAATGCCTCAACTACAACTTACCAGCTCGACATGGTAGTCCAACTACTCCATGAGGTAGTTGGTACTGCTATCGTGGTTCTTCTATACTCCCTCCTTTGTTTAGCAGCTAGTTCTATCATGATATGGCTGGTATGGGCACATCACGAGAGGGATAGCTGTACGTTGCGCATGATCTAAAGTTAGCTTCAGGATGAAGAATAATTGACTGGTATTACGTATAGATGTCGCACTACTTTCATATTTTACGCTCTTAGGAACTATTGCTAGCATTATTCAGCAATTCCATACATTCATATGGTGGAGGGATGTCAAAGTTGAACAGTACAAATACGCCGTTGCGCATCTCGGCAGCCCTGAGATTGCTATCGCAGGACCGTCCGTTGGGCTGGACCTTGTCCTCTTCTATATACGTGAGTACCAGTCCCCCGAAATGATGACCAAGGTATCGCTAATTGCAGAGCAAGAATACTATACATATAATGCAGAAGCAATATTCACGCTTTTCTGGGCCATCGCGCTTACGCGAACCGTCTTCAAATTTACAAATTTGATGACCTTTAGACGTATCAAATATAGAACGAGTCAACTGGCCAAAGTCGTGGCAGTCATCTTCCCCGGAATTCTATTGTGCCTCCTACGGTTGAATAGTGTCCAAAGTTCTCATATGGGATTCTTAATACTTGCCAATTTCAATAGTATGCGCCCCTGTTGTATTCGTCATCGCTACTAGTAGAGAACTAGTTAAGATAACACGACATTAGTAATGATCAGCCTATCTATTGGCAGTATTCTGTTAATAGCAATCCTTATTAAATATATTTACACTCGACGTCGACTTGTTTCGTGGAACGCCCAATACTTATTTTCAAGGCGGTCACAAGAGCCGGGCGGAGAAATTATTAACGTTCTGGATCAGGGAGATGGTCGTCAGAGCATATACGATCGCTGGCTAGTATTACGATTCTCTATCGCGTTTGCAGTCTTAGGGGTCTTTCAGTTGGTCACAATTCTCTTAGAGGTGTCACAATTGTCGAACCACACAATGGAGAAACTAGGCGAATCCGCGAATCTATCGAAGGAGAGGGCTAAAAATGATTTCCTGCTATTTATGCCGGGTGTATCAACAAGTTTACTTGTAGGTCGACCACAAAGTTACACTTAATTTCCCAGTCATCCATATTATCCGCTTTCTATACACCTCAACGTCAAAGTCCGGGCTTTAGTTGGCTTCTCTAGTTAAGTAGTTGTACTCTAACTCTAAGACTACTAGGTATTCGTCGTTTTTGGGACAACACGAACATTTCGAAAAGCAATATATAAGACATTCGTCCCGAAGAGGTTTCAAAAAAAGCCAACCGAGGCAGCCCCCGTAACGACTATAATACCTGACGAAGACGTTCATGCCAACGAAGAATATGGGGCGAGCTTTTACGATGCAAAAGGGCAAATACAGCCTGACTTGGGGTCGAATGGAGCAACGATAGCGGCAGCCGATACAAGCCAGCCTCTGGCGTCTATAGATTTGGCTAGAGGATGTGAATTAAGATAGAAGACATTATTGGATGGTGAGCTGTACTTTTTTATACAGCTTGCCAAGGGCTACCATCGCGATTTCTAGGTAGTCATGTAATATTTGTTGGGTCACTAAGGGAGTCTATGAAAGAAACTACTGTAATTACAGGAAAGGGAATACGGAATAGAGGCTAACGCTAGGTACCAAGCGATATCTAGATTCAAGATAGGGAATGAAATGATACCACTTTATTGCCATTTATGGCTACCGTTCTATTTTATTAAGACGTCATAATATTATTATATTTGGTACCTATTTAGGGATTAATAATATAACTACCTACGTATTTATTCTTAGTTGATTGCTCTTATAAGAATCTAGGTTCGTAAGATGTAGCAATGTATTTGAATCAAATTTGATGTCCTCTACCAATATCTGTCAAGCACTAGGTTATAGTTATTCCTACCCTAAAAATGAAGAATGTACATAATAGCAAAATGGTGACGATAAATATTTTTGCTATCATTCCAATTCAAAATCCCGAAAGCCTTATACAAGATTTAGTACCGTTAGGTCATTAGGCTACAAGAAATATTATTAAAATAAAACACTATGAAATTGTAGAAAGTATTTCGGCCCTAGGACATGTACTTTGGGTCTTCTCTTCAAATCCCCCCACGGAAATAATACTTTCTGTTAGGCAACTAATATCCTTCGCCTCAACAACTCCCACCGCCGTATCCGCCATAGCATTTACCCTGTTTTGCTATGCAAACCAGTTCTTGATATTACACGGACCATCTCACTGCTTCGTATTCAATGAACCCTTCGGTTTTAGTAATGGTGGTAAGAGCAAGATATTAGATATGACGATGTAAATGAAATATGAGAGTATAACAAGGAGCCTTTGTTTAAGGTGTTTAAGCGCTCTAGGGATCTACCTAGCATATAAGCTACCTAGGTAGGTAGTGATATGATAATATACCTAACCTAATAATATAAATCATCGTCAAATATGACATGTGTTATAATGATATAATTTTTCACATCTAAGGGGAACGTTTGAGCGTTTTCTACTTACCTAGTTTCATTCTTTGATACATTCGGACCAGCCGCATATTCGTAGCCCATGGGAAGATCAGAGTACTATTGTAGAGCCAGTAAGCCTACGCCCTTGAAAATGGACCTAAATAAGACTTTGATCCCGGAAATCTTTGAAAGAGACTTATCACCTAACAGCAGTTTGGTACCTATTCTATGAGGTAAGTTGTATAATATCACAGTCGTTAAAAATCATGTTGTTATTCCTTTATCATTGAGTTCATTTGGAGGGGTAGCCTATATCCATACTACGAATGGCCTCGTATGTATTGTATTGTTGTTATTGGTGTAAGAACAGAGGTACGTTATGACCGACTCGCACTTTGTTAACCAACCCTATATACAACTTAAATATCTCTTTTGCCAATCTATAAGTCCAGTCTTATATGCAAGTTTAAACATCAGCTGAAAGACTTTATCGATGATAGTTCGAAATGTATCCCTTCGAATAGCATACTGAGGTACCTAGCTAAATTGTTTTACGATCTTCCACTACCTACTGGGCGCATTAGTAGACTTCGATCCTGGTGCCGTATGATTATACGTCTTTTAACCTAGCAACATTAAAATCATTCACATTGCATATTAGTTAACCTATTTCCATTATATTTAATTATTGACGTAATTGTATTCAAAATCTTAGAAATGTTAACCTCTGTTTGGTAAGATGGGAAGAAGCGTCGTAACCCTCGAATGATATTACCCCTTTCTAATACCGGGGTCGGCTTGAACTAAGGCGCTAATTGGATACTGATCTTGATTAATCTTATCAGATCCGCTGATTAGATCCTCAAGACCCCACATCTCCGACTTTATCCCCTCAACCTACATTAGAAAAAAGTTTTAAGAGGACAAAAAGTTTTCTTAGTTTACATTGTCTCGGGCGCTTGACCTGAATAGGTCGAACCGTATATATACCGTACCATAGTCGTCGCCTAGACCAATTCAGCTATGATGATCATCCCGAAATCGCTCAATATAGTATGTTGATTTTATTGCAGGATTCTATTTTCAAAGGTTACCTAAGGTAGGTACCTACCCAAATTATATATTAAAATATTGCCTTTAAACATGTGTAGTCCAATGAACCCATTGACGCAGCCTTTGTATTATTGATGTAGCTTCAACTATTAGGTAGGGGTGATCTTATACCCTAAGTAGCATTGTGTGAAGGCTACAGGACTTGTCATGAAGACTATAAGAAAACGATTTGTGCATTTGGAACCCTTGTCTAGTGTATGGTGGATGTGTTGGGACCTACGTACCCAATGCCTACCTACCTAGGTTAGGTATGTACCAATACCACCGTTGTAGCATGGATCTTGTCCAGAGTTACCCACCTTGAAAGCTAGAAAAGAGAGTATATAACTATACCTAACGTAAGGTAGTCATGTTTGCATATAAATATTTAGAAAACTTCACGATCCTGCATTGACACCATTTAATTAGCAGAGAAAACCAAAATGTCTCTTCCGCTCTTTGCCATATCTGTTTTGATATTCTCTCTGCAAGCTTTTCCTGTCTCTGCGCAGAATTACACGTGGCCATGGCAAACCTATAAATCTAGCTCAGCGGAGCCGTAAGTAAATATTGATCTTTTTTACCTTCTAATATACCCTACTATCTCTAATAAATACTTCATTGAGTATTTCCGGAGTGGGAAGATCTTATAAAGGAATTCATCACAAGGTTGACATATTAAACGGGTACTTACTAGATATCATTTAGTCCATTACTGAATATCACTAAATCCGGTCCTACGTCTCCTGGATACCTATTTTTCAACCAGAATGGGGAGTATGCGCATAACTATAGCCTTTTCATCATGTCCGATGACGATGAACTTATCTGGCAAAGCGGATATGGCGACTACAGTGCTTTCAGGACCCAAACATTTGAGGGCAAACCGGTATTAACTTTCTTCAATGGAGTCTCACTAGCGGAACCTTACGGATGGGGCCATGGAATTATTCAAATTCTTGATAATTCTTATACAAGTATTTACAATGTTTCACTAGCAGCAGATGAAGGGAACTTTTTGACTATACCGGAGCTTGATCCTAACCAGATCACATCCTATCTCGATATGCACGAGTCCCAGATCACAGCTCAAGATACCATCCTTGTAACATTATACAACGTTACCAAATACGATCTGAGCTCTGTTGGTGGACCGCAAAATGGTTGGGTAACTGATAGTTTGTTCTACGAGCTCGATATCAAGACCAACGAAATACTTTTCAAGTGGAGCGCCTTAGACCATGTCGACCAGATTCCTATTGCCGATGTCCAGCAGTTTTATCCTGTTGCGGATTTTGGTAATAACCAATCTATTCCATACGGTTATTTCCACATCAATTCAGTAGACAAATTTGAAGACGGATCATACTTAATCTCTTCGAGATACTACTGCTCAATTTTCAAGATTTCCAAAAATGGCACAGTTGAATGGACACTACAGGTAAATTTTAACCAAGCTTCTCGGGATGTCTCATTTATAACTAGTAGCTAACATAATGTAGGGCCAAACCGGCGGAGATTTTCAGCTTGACGGTCAACTTTCCTTCTGTTATCAGCACGATGCTCGTATTCGACAAGATTTAGGGAATGTAGTTCAAATTAGCCTATTTGATAACGCAAACTCTGAGATTGTGTCTGGCATAAATCAAACTAAAGGCATATTCCTTACATTGAATACGGAAACAATGAAGGCTACGCTCAACCAAGAATATGTTGACGCACAGGACGCAATATACGCCTTTTCCCAAGGAAATCTACAGCAGTTAGAAGACGGGAATGTTATCATGGGATATGGGTCGACACCTAAGATAAGAGAGTTTAGCCCCGATGGTACTACCTTGATGACTGCGCAGTTTGGCCCTGGGGATGGTCTCATCTTTTCTTATCGTGCCTATCGTTTCCCGTGGATTGGTCTCCCCAAGTCATCTCCGAGTGTCTTGGCTTGCAGGAATGAAGCTAGTAACAGTACTGCAGTATATATGAGCTGGCTTGGTGCCACAGAACACAAGTCTTGGGGGATATTTGCAGGAGATAGCAACTCTAGTCTCACTCTAATATCACAGGTAGATAAGACCGGGTTCGAAACAGTAGCAACTATACCCGGCCAAGTTTCTTTAATCCGCGTTGAGGCACAGGGCGTGGGTATCACTGGCGGAGTTTCTCACGTAGTATCATCTCAAAGAAGTTGCTAATTTTGAACAATACAATAAGTTCACCGGAAACATCTGGGTACTCTTTAATGAGGCTACTCATTCCTGCATAGCTCATGCAATATAGAGTTGTCTGAGGCTTATAATATTACTTTCTAATAGAAACTTTATAACTTAGCTACCTATTTAATTATATCTAGCTGAGTCTCAGCTTTTGAACATAAATAACAATTCAGCTCAATACCACAACCTCCGACTAGCGATTAAAATTACAAGCCACAAATTTTTAGTCCTATGAACGTGGTATATTAAGGCATAATTGTAGCAGCCCCCAGAACACTGGTGCTAGCGTTCAGAGTTGTGAAATTTCTCAAGCAGCACACCAACTGGACCTGCAGGTATTTGGCAGTTTCTGCCTAACAGTGGGATTGGCAAGAGGTTGGCTTCGAGGGGCTGGGTACGGACAAAGCGCTTCAATATGGAGTACAGCAGATGGTAAACATCTTACTTCGACGTCGCATGAAAATGAAGACCTTGAATGGGCCCTAAGTAGCCATAGACCAGGCAATTATGCCCTTGTCCTTTCTGCTACCCTGAATGTGCACACCACCAACAGTCCTGTAGCCGGTGCATAGTAACTAACACTCGAATACCAAACTTGTACGTTAACTCACGCCTCAGTATTCATCTTTGCATTACGACGATTAGTATATGGTGATGAGTGATAGTAAAAGTAAGGGATGCGTTAATGTTTCAAGACGGCGGGGGGTAGGCGGCATAATAATGATTTTAAGCTATCTTTTAACGCATATAAAAGCAAGATAACAATTGGCAAAAATGATTACAAACATAATAAGAATAATGAGCTATCACATTACAAGATGCACGTGGCGCACCACATTTTATGCAGCTGAATGTATTATTTAACTTTACACACATAAGAACAGCGTTATTTACAATAGATGTCTCTGAAATGAAGCTTCATATAATGAAGAGGTTTGCGGCTTTCATATTACAAAAGCTTCACCATCGCTATACAATGCTACCCGAAGCTGACAACACGGTCGATGAGCCACAATCGTCCTGGAATGAAAACCGTAACAATCACCCTATTGGTGCATTAAAGAACAGAATATGGTTCCATCGTAACCATTATGTGGGAGCATTACTCTTCAACTTGGGCGCTTTCGTCCTCCCAGCTCTATACAGTACTCTATCTAAATTATGGGTTGCGGAGATTGACTCGTCGCTTGTTGTTACGACCGATGTATACACCTACATCGGAGTGGTGGTTGAGGTTCTAAATGAGGGCCTCCCCCGCGCCTCCTGGGTCATCATTGCCGACAAAGACTTGCGCTCATTAACACAGCGCCTCAGCTTAGCCTACACGCTCATTCTATTCCAGTCTATCCTTGGACTAATTATGAGTATTGCATTTATTGCCGGCGCCGCCACATTTGCTGAAGGGTTCGTCCCTGTCGAGGTTCGCGCCGCAAGTTTGACTTACATCCGGATTAGCGCTTTCTCGGCCCTAAGCTCAGCAATTGAAACTACTGTGGCGGCGGCCACGAGAGCTCTTGACAAGCCCGATATTCCACTGGTTATCAGCTTGACCAAATTTGCTATAAATATCATTTTAGATCTGCTTATCATCTCACGATTCCACGTTGGCAATATCCAACCGACAATTAATATCCAAGCTGGCATCCAGCTTGCTTGCAACATGACGGCTGCTTTCGTAGGACTTGCCTACTTTCTTTGGGCAACGAACTCGGAGCATCGAAATCATCAGCTGGAACTTTCTGACAATGACGATGGGGATGTTCCTCGGATACGTATAGGAACTGATACTAAAATCCGTTTGAGTTTCCGTGCCTTGGCTGTCCTATTACGACCTGGGATCCTAACCCTCGCTGAGTCGGCCATACGAAATTCCCTTTACCTCTGGCTAGTCAGTACCATTGTAGCGCTTGGCTCAACGTATGCGACTGCCTGGACAATATTCACTACTATCCGCTGGGGATTGGTTATGGTTCCTGTTCAGTCATTAGAGGCGACGAGCCTTGCGTTTATCGGCCACCATTGGGGATCTTGGCGCCGTTCAATTGGTAAGACGACGCGTAGGCCTGGTCGTGTCGCTTTCAAAACTATCATCCGAATTATGAGACCGGCTCTCGTTTCCTTCGTTATCGCTCTCTTAGTTGAGATCCCTCTTGCCATCTTTCTATCCATATGGGGTGCTAGATCGTTCGCTCGATACCTAGGCCAACCGGATGAAGTTGCAGACATCACAGCATATATGTGGCGGACTACTGACTGGTGCTACATATTTTATGCCATGTCGACCCAGCTTGCTACGATTCTCCTGGCCACACAGCCTAAATGGTACCTCTACCAGAGCTTGGTTAGCAACCTCCTCTACGTTTTACCATGGGCTATAGTCTGCCAGGTAAAGGATCTAGATGTGAGCAATGCTTGGACCTACCATAGACTGGTTTTCGGCGGAAGCTTAGTGTTTAGTTTTATCGACGTTTTAGTTGTTAATGCTGCGTGGGTATGGACGGTAACGACCGGAAGGGCGAAGCTTGAGACGTTTAGAGAAAGCTGATATAATATTAATGTACATGTAGTAATTTGTCAACAAGCCCCATGAGTACCATAGATACATTAACGTAACTCAAGTTCGCAGAGACATATAGATACCACGATCTATACATAGTTGCTAGGTATACGAAATCCGGAATATGTCTACTATGGAATTCAGACCCCCTATATTCTTTTACCTCTCCGGGAGGACTTGCGCATACGGTAATGTGTCCTTCACCAATAAGGCTATCCAAATATAATATATGTACCCAATTCTGATAGGCAATACCACCGAACTCATGAGGAAATTTCCTCTCACTATTTAGTGTCACCAAGAGAAGAGTCATTACCCTTGACTTACTAAAACGAAGATTTTATATTCTATAACTACGTAAATATGAGGTACCTAAGGTACTTGGGTGGCTATGCTAGGAGACAAACGCGTCATATTAGTGTGAAGTGCACCTAGTGATGTATTTCAATGCAACCCTACTTCCAGAGAGAAGCATCTAGGTTAGGAAATTTAAGATCGAGTGTCGTTATTTCTGCATGTAGCCGTCGTAGTATCGGACTTCCATACATGCATGAATCTGTATTCTTCAGCATTTGGATGATGCATGGAAGTTTTATATCTGACCTTCCATTTTCGTCAGTGGATCCCGTTCCATGATGTAGTCTACCTAGGTAGGTATAGTTATACTTCAGTCACCAACTTACACATTTCATATACTGGACATATAGGGTGGCAAAAAATTATGCGAAGCCTGTCCGAAAATGCTGACGTCTTCTTATATTGGGTACCAACCTTCTTAGTTCGTCTTAAGATGATTCCTTGGTGTCAGATAGGGGTTTCGATTATGCTTGACTAATAGATAGAACATATGATTTCGATGATCAAAGTTGATATAATTTAGAAGGCTTCAAGAAGCATGTCTGTTCGGTGGGTTTTACCTGTAGAAAATTAAGAATTGTATAAGTGCCAACTTCAAAGACTCCAGAAGCGTAAAATCACTACTAGTACCAAAAGAGAAAGTATACCAACAGGTAAAGATTGAATTGGTAGATGGTTCATCACATAGTGGGATCTAAATCTAATCTAAGTTTTTGATACCTATTTGGTATCCCTTTCCAACCTGAGAAGCAGCATTTCGCGAATTTAGGAATCTATTTACAGTGTCGTCGTATAGTCCAACCATATCCTGCAGAGCGTAAAGGAGAAATAAAGAGAATAAGGAGAAAATGAATGTCGTGAATTGAAAAGTTACAAGAGCAGATCTGCTCTCCGTTAAAATTCCAAGTGTAGCTTTCCGTCGACAATACTGCTCCTCGGGCTGAGATCCCACGATGGACTCCCGCTTTATGCTTCGCCAACTCCATCATCCTCTTCTCACCCCACCGACCCCAGCAAGCTTGCCAGCTTTGCAAGTATTAGCGATGTACAGGTGTGTCAATGCCGGTAAGTTATGTCCGTTGTTTACGAGTCGAAAATGGCACCATACGCGGGGATTCCACGCGTAGTCATACCATATACAACCTTCTCCGTTACCTTGGGGTTAGAAATGATGAAAACGGCTTCCGCATCCGACTCATGGACAAGCTGATATACTTCTCGAACAATGTCTGGGTATCCCCTCTCGTGGGTGTTCCAGATAACTGCGTTGGGGTCGGCTCGTTTGACCTCTGCCACAACTTGAGGGCCGTATGTCTCATGAGGTTCTCGGGTACTCCAGAATACACGGCGAGGTGTGATATCAGCAAAGAGAAGTGACAAGCAAGGGCCGATTCCAGATCCAGTAGCAACCACAACAATTCGTCTGAACAGCTTCGATGTGTAAAGAAGACCGTGAAGAGGCGCGCCACGAACCCAGAGTTTTCGCTCGTTAGGCTTGTTGATCTGCTTCTTGGTCCAGTCGCCTGCGTTGCTGACAACGACGCTGAAGCCATTAATCTTGCCAGACTCGGGGTCAACATCGGGAATAGTAGCAAAGGCGTGCCACTCAGTTAAGGGCTTGTCGCTAATCTTTAAACCGTAGAATGGTGCCATACCCCTGTACTTGAAGTGTAAACGCGTAGCGTGGTTGCTCAGCTTCTCCGGGTAGACTGTTGGGTGACGTAGACGAAGCCATGAAGCAAGGGTGCAAGAAGTCGAGATGCAAATGAACCAGAAGTTAGGCGAGCGGATAAGGACATAACCAAGAGAGGCATCCCATTGCCTGGCAGTGACTCTGGCTGAGAAGATGTTGTGGATCCAGAAAGTCGTCAAGGCTGTCCAACCAGCAAACCGATGGAAAGCCTCAAAGTAGTCGTGGAACTTTCGTCGTAGATCGGGGTGGGCTGACGTTAAGATAACGACGAACATCGAAACCAAAATCCAGCTAGTAATCATGTTGACTAGCTCATCAGTCACTGGCTCATCGATCCACTCCTTGGTAGCTAATATCGTATAGAGAATATACCATACGACCGCAGCAGTACCCGCGCCACTGTGACCACCACCGTAGTGGAAGACCTTCGCAAGGCGCTTTCGGATGTAAAGGGGCCACGAGTGAGGGACACATGTGAAGACCTCATACCAAAAGTTGACAAATTCCTCTTGGCGGAAGAGAATGCTGACCATGAGATTGGCTGATGCGGCACTACCTACATCTCGAGAACTGGGTTTGCCTTTTGCTACTGCTAGCAGGGCGACGAAGACAGACAAGTTGATCGTAAAGATTGTCCCAAATATTTTTCTATATGAGGAGGCATATTTGTCTAGTATAAATATTAGCTCTATGTTTCATATAAATCGTATAAGACATTTACACTTACAGCGGACTTGTTGACTCAACTCGGATCCGAGTTGATCGGGGAGAACCGCACGCTCGGTAATTGTCTCAATTTGTTTCTCATCGTTGCCTTTGCCGGAGTGCACGGAGGGAGTGGTTGTCCCCGTGGATGGTCCCGCCGATGATAAGGGTCCAGCGATCGTAATCGGTGTCAGATCCCCTGAGCGGAAGGCATCCGCCTGTCCCTTTTCAGAGTTGTTGATCGTCATGTTGAAAAGAGGCGATGTCTTTCTCTGAAGTTTTAGTTGTTGGTCTTGCGGATTGGTTGGCACGGGGAATCCTACAATCTAACTGCAAGATCGGGGCGACGGCTAGGGATATAAGTACTCGATGAAGGCGAAAGACATTCGGCCTGGTGTAAGAGCGACTAGATACTAGTCTGCCAAGACCCGGTTTACTCATTCTTGAATACATCGAACGATGCTGATTCTTCGATATCGCAAGATCTTCGATAACTTAGTCTTACGTGGCAGGACCTCCGGTCCAGACGAACGTAGTGTGCATCCCCATAGTTCCAATGATGATGGAGTCAACCGAGTTAGCAAACTGTGGTATCTTGCTTGCTTGACGAACTACTAGATTTGGAAGTTCCCCATGTTGATCTTAGTCTGTGTTGCCTCAAATCTGACCCGGGAATCCACAGTCGAAACATCATATGGCCGTTGGCACCATGTATTGGAAAGGATGTAAAGGTGGCTCGTCGTTACTATTGTTGTGGGGCTAGAGATCCCTAGATTCAGGAACGTCTTCCACAACAGAGGATATCTGTGGATATCTGCACGCCACATCGGCATATTGTTAAGAACCGGGTGTAAATCTGCGTGGTGGTTTACTAGGACAAACAACACGCCCAGCCCTATTAGGGGTGTGTCACCTGACTCCCAGGACGAATCCAGACACCACAACCCATTGGAACTACTACAACTTACTACAATAATGAACCGTAGAATTCATATTGAAAATACATACTACAAGTCCACTGCATCTACTGCTGGATTCGCCCCTAATGTAATAAGCATCTGTGTTAGTACAAAGATAACATATTAAATAATAGTTTAAAACGAGCTGTAATGTGGAAATATAACCTCTTAAAGATTATGGGCAGACTCATCCTTGCTTCTAGCCTATAGATAGACCGATATTCTCGACTTATTTCGCTTAATCCTCACCACGCGGTTATGTAAAGACGTTAGAGGCATGCGGCTATGCCCATAGGCTACATTGAAATTTGGCCAGTTCTGGATGGGTAAAGGGGGGGCGTTAGGTAACAACAGGGTTTCTGTGCTAACACCTACCCAGGTTATCCAATACCGAGGCTGAGGGACAGCTTTGGCAGGTAGCATTTAAATTTTGTCTCCGATGTGTTACGAGATTCATCCTTATTGGCTTACACCAAATAGGGTACCCATGTCTTTGCATCGACTACTAACAGGTTGACCCTCTTTATGATCATTTACTTACTACATATTGCCATCACGAATTGCTGAATCTTCAGCCGCGAGAACTTGGCATGCATTATCTTATCCGTCTCTAAGACTGGGCGTAGCTCATTCGCCATCAAGTCACGAATGCTCAAAATCCACACCCTTTCGGATAGCGCCATAAAGGGAAATGTGATGCAAAGCAATGCTACTGGATACGCCTGACGCTTGATTCAAATGACAAGAAATTGGACTTGTTACGCGATAGAAACCAACATAGGAGGTATGAGATTAGTAGGCGTTGGGAAGGGAAAAGGCTTGGCATCGCCTTCAATGCTACCACCTGAGAGCTGGCTAGTAAGTCACCACATCTAAAGCCTCTCAATTATACTATTAGATGAGTAAAATTCGCAGGTTCCTACTATTCGTCGGTAGTTTAGTACTGGTAACATCCCGAATGCGCCAGGATACTCTTATCAATTCTAGATGGGCTAGTTATCCCTGAATCGCATCCGGATTATATAACTTCTCGAATAATTCTAGCAGATATATCTCGGTCGGCTAGTGATAATAGTTATATGCAATCGGGCTAATCCTTCGGGACGATTTGTTTAGGATTCTAGCCCCTGCTTGTACCCATCATATAAGTGCAATTTTTTTTGTCTTAAATTCCTAAAATGTTAGGTACATAGGTAGGTTCCTTAAGTGGTAATAACATAAACAGTTGAATAAAATTGTCAATCTAATTATAACTATCCATATATATATCTTCAGTTTCATTACTTTATTAATTTCTCAAAGTCTACTGAAATTTCTCTCTATACTTTAGATACCTAACTTATCTAAGCTAAGGTATGGTAACCGAAAAGCAACCGATCAGATTCGGATCTTGAACATCATCCGATACGGGAACATGATCGGTACCTTTGCCTCTGGTAGTCCGTGCATGATTGGTCCGTCGGTACAGCTCAGGGGGGGGGCTAGTTCCCTGCAATGCCTTGACTCCGCAGCTTGCAACCCCAATCAACCTTATCTGGTTCTACAAGGATGCCCTTAATTTTTTTCCTTCTACATATCGCGCCTAATGATATCATGTCATCCGTTGTAAAATAAAATAAAAAGTCCAGACCTTAAGACCCTTGATGTTTCAATTTTGACCCTCCTTGCAACTCTCTAGCTCATTCACATGCCGAAGCGAAAACCCCAACGATCCGGTCTTCTCTACCGGTCGGACGGATCTTGATCACTATACTTTACTATGGTTCGTGGGTCTATCGCTCACTGCACTCACACTTATACTACACTGCTTACCCTTAAATACCTAGTGTTGTCGCTAAACACCAAATCATAGTAAGCCTCGTTAGTATAGGCTTACAAGTTGCTATCTTTTAGGTTATCATGCCCAGTCAAGATTCGGTTTCGGTTCTCTCCCAATCCAAATACGGAAGTTGAACTTAACGAAAAGCTTCTTCTGAGGCTAAGTATCTCACTTCGAGAACCTTGTTGCCTCCGAGCTACCTTGGAGCTACCTTGGGTAGCTATTCGATAATTTCATCCCGATGGCACGAGTCGAATCGACCCTCCGATCTAGATAAACCTGATACGCTGGGAGTCCTCATCGCGATTGAAAAGCATATCATGACGTTGAGGTTCTGGTAATCTTTCTATAGGTTTGAGTGAATTTCTTGAATGCGCATCACACTTTGCCACATTGAAAGCGGCCTACCATCTTAGGTCTGGTCCGTTTTTACTGTTGTAGGTAGTATCTCGACTTGTTACGATCAAGTGGGTGCAAGCCTATCTAAGAAGCCATTACATCGGTGATATATGACCAAATCGCGAAGCTCTAACCATAACTAGGATTTCAGGTTTGGTTGTGAAAATAAAGCTATTATGACTTAGAATGACGGAACTTGACCTAAATTTCAGTCATAAGTCTATTAGGTAACAGTAGCCGTCTTAAAGGTATCGTATTTTCCACTTAGTCTTTTCAATCCAAGTAGATATTATACCTAACACGATATTATACCTTGATGACGGTTATCCGTGGTAGTTTTAAAACATATGCGGGAAGTACAGAAGTGGCATCTATTAGACAGTCCCTTACTAATTTCTACCAGTCGACTTATGAAATGATTTTATATATTAAGTACCTCTCAGGTGCTTATATGATATGTAAGAAACACATCGACAGATGATCCTTGCCTTGGAGGCCCTTCTAAGTTACAAACAAGGCTGGATATTACAATAAACACGCATAATTATATTAACATACCTAAATCTGTTTGTTATCAATGCTCAACTAAAGAAGAATATTTTCATAGTTAAGTACCTGTTAAACTTTAGGTATATAACCCAGGTCTAGATAAAGTGAGAAATTTATTCCAACTTGACGCAATTTCGTCGAAACTCTCAACTATACATATATTACCAGTGACTTGTTCAGGAATATTCCCCCACTAAGTCTCCGCTTAGAAACTCTAGTTGTGATTTTTTCCAATACTATGAATATCCTCAAAGTATAGAAGATGCAACGTTGAAAGGGGTATCATATAGCTAACGGAACCATCATCACCATAAACACATGTTTAAAGCAGATATATTGAAAAAAAAAAAAAGAACTTTATAGTCTTGGATTCAAATTTTACAATCAAGAAGAATGAGTGTCCTTTCCGTTAATAGTGGTGCTATAGTGACAGGCATTTATGGCACTCACACCTATACTTCTACATGTAATTATTAATGCTGATGATAAAGCCACAATTGACCACAGGTACCTAGATCTAATCCTCAGTGCTAGGATAACCACACTTGTAGATTCTCTACATCGGAATACGAGTAAGATAGTGATAACATCGAGGTTTATTCAAAAGGTACTGGATAGTGGCTAACTCATCTATGAAGTGATAGGATAGCAAAACATATTTCCGAACTGGCGAGAAATCATTTTCCTTTACGGTTGTGTAATCTAGGAAGTGCATCGAGATTGCTAAGATAATCATAAGACCGTTTACCGAACGCATTAGCTCTAGCAAGTGATAGAGAACTTGGTCTCTCCGAGTATGAAAATTCTAGTTATCCGGTGTAAAAGATTTCAGATATTCAGCTCGCATGGATTTCTAAAGAGACAAATACAAACCTTAGCATGAGAAACCATGCAGAAAATATCTTTATATGCACCCCTTTTACGTTGATTTATCTTTTGTTTATTAACTAACTGATCTTATTTCTCTAATTTTAGAAGGGGTACACAAAAAAGGGGAACATGCTACACGGTCACTATCATTCATGCATTGGCAATATGCATAGTCATAGTGCTTAGAGTGACAATCTTATTCTTATTTTAAAGCTATGTTTCACTGTTCTTTTATATAAACATTGTCTATTTGTCTTCCTAGATCCTGTTAAGCCATGCCCCCATTAGCGCGGAGCACCTGGCCCGAAACCCAGGTTGAGTGGGCTAGGAAGACGATAACTTCGGCAATCTCCTCAGGAGTACCAATGCGGCCCTGGGGACTAAAATTTGCGATGGTCTTAAGCAACTCGTCACTCTTGCCGCGAAAGAACAGCTCGGTCCCCGTAGGACCGGGCGCCACAGCGTTGACGAGGATACCCTTGCGTCCGAGATCCTTGCTCATCACGCGAGTCATCTGCTCGATAGCACCTTTGGTACTGTTGTACAGCAAGTAGCCCGGCATGACAGTAGATGCTGTGGTCAACGTGGTTGATAAGAAGATGATGTGCGAGCCAGGAGACATGTGCGGTGCGGCAGCCTGTAAGGTGAGTGGTCAGCAGCTGTGCCACACCTAGGTCACGGGTAGTTTGCGGATGATTAGTCCATCGGTGAGGATTTGAAATGCTTACCTGGGCGAGAAAATAGGGGCCCTTGACATTGATAGCAAAAGTACGGTCGAAATCAGCCTCAGTGGTATGCTCGAGGTCTTTCATAGGTAGGACACCAGCGTTCGGTACAAGTACATCGATCTTAGAATAGGTGTCGACGGTCTGCTTGACAAGTGACTGCACGCCTTCCACGGAGCTAGCGTCAGCGCGTACAAGGCGTGCTTCACCTACACCTAGCTTTTGCACTTCGGCGAGAGTGTCTTGTGCAGCTTGCTCATCCGAAGAATAGTTGATGACCACTGTGGCGCCAAGACGTGCGAGTGCGATAGCTGAGGCCTTGCCGATGCCTTTAGAAGCACCAGTGATAAGAGCAACCTTGCCGCGAAGGGCAGTGGAGGGGTTAGAGGCCATGGTGGATGCGCTGACGTGAGGGTGAGAAACGATAGCACGTGGATGATCCCTGAATGGTGATACAGAAGTTGATAAAGCAGAGTGAGAATGATCCGGTCCGAAACGGCGTAAGAATTTAGACAAGACTTTCTTCATTAGCAGAGAATATGATCCGACTTGAACCGAGAAAAATACATCGTCCAACGTTGTGCTTTTAACAACAAGAGATGCCCTGTGTATAGTAACATATCATTGCGTTATAGTCCGGCGAGACTGAGCCTCAAAGACGCGATAAGTCCGCGACCGTAAAAGCCGGTATTTCTTTAAGTGATTCGGCTCTGAACCCGCTAGTTTCGGGGGGCGCTCTCTGGATTGGTTGCTATCTCCGGCGGGGACGGAACCAAAATTACGGGACTAATAGTCCCGAATTGGAATTTGTTACCCATACCTGTTTGTGCAACTAACAAGTTTCAGTAAAAGGTATCTCACCCGAGTGGCTTGACTTTCAAATTATGGCTACTATTCTATTTCTGAGCATTAATAGTGGGTTGAAAATGTTATGCGATCTTATAAGTATGTCGGAAATATCTTACACCACGATATCGGAATCCGATGACTTAAAATAACAGTTAATTCCGTAAGACATATTTATTAACTCCAGATACTAAACAACAAAGTTATAGCTAACAGGTAACTATATAATATATAACTAAGTGAAATTAATTTTATAGTTTTCCTCTAAAATAAGTCAAGATATAATAAGCACAATTAGCAATAACAATTTTATCCCTACCTTCTATTCCCGAAACTCTCGCAAATCCTAGGCTTTGACAAAGCTTGCTTATGGCTATCTTATATTTACTAGGTTAGCATCTCAGGTCTTTAGCTATCGCTTATCAACGAACGTCAGATTAATGTGGTCCAGATACAGTCCATCCTCATATTAAGATAGAAAGTGTCTAATAATAACGGCCTATGTTAACAATGCTTTAACATAAGTTACCGTGAGCCGAAGAAATTTAGTCAACTCCGTTTCGATTCACCTTCTGATGTACAACTGTTGGTTGGCAAATCATTACGATTCTATACCGTATTTTCTTAGTATAGTAAGCTTAGTCTATAGACGAACATTTACTATAATTCCAAAAACAACTTCAAACTAATGTTTCTTGTGAAATTCTCGATAACTAAGTTGAGTTATTGTATTAAATTTATGCCTTTTTGGAGTCAAGCTTGCTTAGCAAGATGAATCCTAGCTTGCTGTGCCATAAAATCCGATTATAATGCGTTTTGAAGTGATTATGATTTCTAACCTTTATACTGTGCCTTCTGTGACGAAAGCCAAATGTTAGAACGTATCCAGCCAAGAGTGTATTAACAGACAGCTGATAGACATATCTGACACAAGGGCTCTAGAGGAAAAGATCACCACGGATTTCACCGTGTTAATAGTCTCAGTCTTGCTTACAGTAGCTGACAATATCAGGTGACTCATACACTTCACAGCCTTATCACGCCCCAAGAAAATACAATATAATGCGATCCCTGAACCACTCTTTCCTTTCAGTCGGGTCCTGCCGAGCTTTTGGCTCACCAAAGCCTACCCAGACGGCCGGGAACATCATCCCATAGAATGAAGAACCAATAAATCTTAAGCGTTCAAGCTGGATTATGCATACAATTGGCTAGTTTCTTACCAGCTCACTGCACGGCTGACCTTTTACCATTGCATCTGACTGGCCAACAAGCCGAGCCTCCCAGGCTTAGGTGGACGGTCTTTCATGATGTCATCTCAAGGACTACCGAGACAGGTGGATAGGACGACATTCGCAAGGCGTCGCGCCACAGTCTATAGATCTGATACCTTTCTGGTGCTACTACAATGCCGAGCCGGTACACGGCATATTTATGTAGAGGACTACCAACTTGGCCAGTTATGAACAGAGGCGTACTTATGTGTAACACCCCTAATATAGATGTACTGGGGTAGACCTCGCATCGTTTGACAAATAGATACACATTTTTCTAATGGCGGCTCTCGAAAAGAAAAGCATTACAATATCGAGATACACCATACATACAGGAAAAGCAAAACATAGTCGGAATAGTGTCAGCTGATAGTGCAAGGTACTGACTCGGGCGTTTTCATAAGTCGCTACAGGAGTGGTGTAGGGCAATGTCAGCCATATGTTCTTCGTTGCTGAGAGGCACAGTTCCCGGAAAATGGAAAGGGAGTATAAGCAGCAAGATGATGCGATGGCGACTCCCTCCATCTCGTATATATAAGAAGAAGTAGGCGTAACTCAGAGAAATAGGATCCATCTCATTCAGCCGACCATCCCAACCCTTCAGAGCCAACAAGTGTTAGATCTACTATCACACATCCTTCCCCCTTCTCTTATGACTATAATGCATACTCTACGACTCTCGGCTCTAGCAGCCGCCTCACTATCCGTTCTTTCGGCGAGAGCTGCCCCTACACCCAAACCGGGGGATTCCTCAATCACCGGCCTCCTGGGTACTAGTTTTGGTATTCCTGGCCAAGACTATGAGTTTGATTATGTCGTGGTGGGCGGTGGCCAGGCTGGTCTCGCAGTAGCAGCTCGTCTCGCCGAAGATAGCTCCCTAACCATAGGCGTGATTGAAGCCGGCGGCTTCTATGAGCTTACCAATGGTAACCTCAGTGAAATCCCCTCAGATGCAGGCTGGTTTGCAGGCAAAGCCACTGATGATTGGCAACCTGCTATTGACTGGGGATTCATCACGGAACCACAACAAGCCCTCAATAACGCCATCGCTCACTATCCTAGGGGTCGAACACTAGGTGGATGCTCTGCCCGCAACTTTATGGCCTATCACCTCGCCACGAAAGGATCCTATGACCAATTAGCCAAAGAGGCCGGCTCGGAGGATTATTCATTTGACAAGTTTTTCCCGTACTTTACTAAAACTCAACGATTCACGCCTCCTGTAGGTGACACCTATGACCGCTTCGCCAACTCGACGCCTGAGTATGATCCATCCAAGCTCGGTACTAAGGGTCCCGTGTCAGTCCTCTACCCTAAGTACGCACAGCCGTTTAGTACCTGGGCACGCAAGGGACTAGAAGCCATCGGCCTCAAGTCACAGCGCGGCTTCGAGAGCGGTAAACTTTCAGGAGGTTACTCCTACGCGCTCGCCGCAATCCAGCGTGAGGAGAACACGCGTGAGTCTTCAGAGACAGCCTACTTACGACCCCATCTTAGCGGACATAACCCCAACCTTATCACGTTCATATCGACACTAGCTAAGCGAGTGGTGTTCGACGGACAGAAGCGTGCTACTGGTGTGTTAGTTGATACACTAGGTCTCCAATACACCATCCGTGCTCGTAAGGAAGTTATCGTCTCAGCCGGAGCCTTCCAGAGCCCACAGATACTAATGGTGTCTGGTATCGGTCCCAAGGACACCTTAGAGAAGCATGGAATCGAGGTCCTTCAGGACAGCCCTGGAGTTGGACAAAACATGAGAGACCACGTTCTTCTTGGTACTTCATACAGGGTAAATGTCCGCACTGCCGCTGCCTTTGGGGACCCAGAGCAGGCTGCCCTATTCGAGAAGCAATATTCACAGGGCAATGGCCCCATGACAAGCAACGGCGTCGACCTTCTTGGTACGTAAGCCCCCATGCAGATATTCGAACCTATATTTAACCCAGACTGATAACTTGTTACTGACCACTGGAGTAGGTTGGGAACATCTCCCCCGTCACCTCCTCAGCAACGCCACCGCTTCGGCACTCGACTCCTCTTTTTCATCTGACTGGCCGGAGCTCGAGTATCTCCCCGACGGAGCCTTCTTCGGCAATTGGAGTAGACCTCACATAATCGCACCCAATGATGGATTCCAGTACGCAACAGTAATTGCCGGCTTAGTGGCCACGTTGTCGAGGGGTAACGTAACCATTCGGTCCAACGACACAGCTGACTTACCCATTATCAATCCCAACTGGCTCAGCCACCCGGCCGATAAAGAAGTAGCCATCGCCGGCTTTAAACGTACGCGTGAGATATGGACGGCGCCGGCTATGCGTCCCGTACTAGTAGGCGAAGAATACTACCCTGGCAAGAACGTCTCGACCGACGAGGAAATCTGGCATTACATCCAGGAGAACTTTTCCACAATATTCCACCCTGCCTGTACCTGTAAGATGGGACCAGCAAGCGATAAGATGTCCGTGCTTGACGCCAATGCCAAGGTCCGTGGTGTCACCGGCCTCCGCGTGGTAGATGCTTCAAGTTTACCAATCTTACCTCCAGGTCACCCCATGTCTACCATCTGTACGTATCCCTAGAATCTCGACATACCTAATATTATTATTGTACTATTGCTAACTGCTGATAAACAGATGCCCTCGCCGAGAAGATTGCTGACGACATCCGTCACGGCAAATAGGCATCACATATTATGCTTAACTATTTAATTTATACGTACCTAGACATAGACCTAGATTTTGTTATAATCAATAGGCGCAGGCTCCGGAAGCTGGATTATTTCGGTTACCATATATGCGTAATTAGAGAAGGCATCGTTTTGGATATCTCAGTTACCTAGATATCTCTATCAATGTCACAGCTTCGGCCTACCTATTTTTCATACTTTACTACCTATTCATATATAAATCAATCAATTAGAATATTCGAAAAATTAGGTACACATAATTGATTAAATGAGTCTTTTAATGTGTTAACTATTGGAGTCTTGAAGTCAGCCTATGAGTTTAATAGGACTTTATGACTGGATGGCTCATATCAAGGTAGTTTCTCATATGCTCTTCATGATGCACGCCCCTATGTATAAAATAATGACTTTAATTAATTAACATAACTAGTAACATACAGTAGAGCATGTTTCGCAACTATTATTGTATAATTGCTATAGAATCTTATATGTATATGTGCAAGTATTTTTTATTCACGATGACCTTAATAACGCCTAGATTATATTCTACTCCATCCTATCCATCCAGAAACGCCTTAACAATATATCCATAAAATCCAAAATCGTCACCGTTTATCACCCAAGACGCAAGACTCCCTCTACTCTATATACGTAGCCCCCATTCACACACCACCCCTTTTCGATGTTCTTTCTCAACTGCTTATAACTTATTCAAATCCTCACTTCCCGGCATCCAATTCTTCCCCCAGTTCCCTCCCTCGCTTCCAGGGCTCTCCTTGATATCCCAGTCGCGCTCGAGGCGCCACTCATCTTTACCCTCAATATCCATGGCTAGCAAGTCGCACCCGCGATGTCCCCATTTATCAGCAAAGACCCGACGTCCGGCATCAACGAGTGTCTCAAGCCCCGCCGCGAATCCTTCCGGGTCGCGATAGAAGGGATCCGCCTGCCCGCCTGCCTGCCGTGTCTGCCATGAGTTGCGCTGCACTCCTTCGTCTACCCACTTGAGATCCTGCATGCGATTCGCCACCTCGACTAGGTGGGCAAAGGTCTCTCCCTCCTTGTCTACCCACGGCCACATATCCTGCTCGCGCTTCAGCTCCGCTTCCCGGTGAGCTTTCTCGGATTCGGAGGTATCTTCTCCACCTGTCGCGTACACAGGGTCTCCCTTGAATGTAGCATGTGCGCCTGGAACACGAAATAGAGCCATGATATCGTCGAGCACTGTGGAGACATCAAACACAAGACCTGCTTCGCTTTGCGGCTGCCAGTACCCCTCCCAGTGCAAGCGCAGGTACATGTCGCAATCGGAGGCGTAGTAAGGGATATGAGTATCCCAAGCGCCGACCTCGAGGTAGGCATCGCGATTCACCAGGGCGAGGTGGTCGTACTCGAAGAAATGAGTAGCCCACGGCGGCATATCCGGGCCGTTTAGGTATCGCAGTAATCCAATACAGCGCTCGTAAATAGTCGCGTACGGGTCATGGTCCCAGTCGTGATCGCGATCGTTCTTCTTGACATCCTCGTCGCTGAATACCAGCACGTCCATATGACTCCACCAGAAAAAAGGCCATTCACGCTCCAGCGCCGTGTGTAGGAAAAAGTTCTGTAGCTGGGCAAAGCTAAGTAGAGTTGGCGTCTCCAGGATTTTCACACCAAGGATATCCAGTGCCGTATAGTTGAGGAAGAAGGGGTTTTGTAGTTCCAGCTCATGTTGCCGATTCGCGTGGAATGTGCCTGTATTCTCAACCACATAGATATCTTCCGCCGGCCATCCTGCCGCAATATAGCTACTCACACATTGTAACAACAACGGCCAATTTCGTGTGAAGCCGATAAATAGTGGCGTCGCTTCCTCGACGTGCGGATGGGGAGGTAGGTTGTTTTCGAGTACCGGTGGTGGAGAGTTGGAATGTGTGAGCCAAGGGAAATGGTCTCCAATAGGGGTGAACGGAATTGATTCTGGCTTGTACTTTTTGACGTATTTTATAACATCCTCTCCTCCGCTCATTGGCTTCTCCACGTTCTTTTCATGGATCGCTTGAGCTACATTAGCAGGGCCCTTGTTGGCTTCCTCCCCATTGGTGCCTTCTTTGCCACCGATAACGGGAAGGCCATCCTGATCGCCCCCTGGCGCAGAAGCATAAAGACCACCCTTTCTTGGAAATGATATATTACTGACAGCTATAGTTAAAGGCTCGCGAATGACATAGTAGACGAGGAAGGCGGCTAACAGAACAGAGCCATAGCGGGCAGCAAGCGGCAAGGCCCTGTTCGATACCGTTCGCATCATCGTCAGCGTTACTATCTCCGCACCATAAAGACTCCGTTACGCATATTGGTCTGGATATACTCAGGAGCTCTTCTACCGGAGCTCGCTGAATCGTGGCTCGTGGCCGCGTGTCTCGATGCTAATATGAAAAGTGAGACGCAAGCAATATAAGAACCTGGAAGTCCGACCGGTAGATGAGCAGGTTTGTTTCAATTAAAGAAACACAGGATAAAGCAATCAGGGGGGAAGGGAATACCACATGAATAAACAAGAAGAAGAAGAGAGTGCAGAAGTAGAAAAGGCCAACAATATCTGGTAGCTAGAAAGGACAGCTACGGCCATGTGTACCACACCCATCCTCTTCAAAATATTCATCCTATCTTCGGTACATAGAGTTGTTCAATGAGGGATCATCGTCCCCAAACCTTGCCAAGCCGGGAGATGTTCAATTCGAAACCATTATTCGCTAGAGTGAGCCAGGATCAACTGCCTCGCTGCTCGTCCGAGACCGTCTAATCACGTATCCCACCCCAGCTGTAACGCGCCAATCGCATTTTCTACTGAAGTAACCCCACCAAAAAGGCTGAATTAGGACGTTGATATCGAACCCATATCCTGTTTTGTAAGAATTTCGTTTCTTCTCAGCCATGAATCTTAGCCCACGTAAAAACAAGACTAATAATTGCCAAGGAATCGAGTTATTATCTGCAGGAACAAGAAGCTTACTTGAAATAAGGGGCCTCGAAGGGATATTCAACACGTGTATATTTAAGCTGATGCGCACTCCGGTGGAGGGGCAAGGGTAACTGTCGATTCTCTGGCATCGATTTTCGACACAGCCCGACCGATCCTCACTTTGCGGAGTGTTAGCAATACGATTGAATTACTTATCACGCAAACAGCTCCGAAATCACTATGGAATCCTCGGTCTATACATCTCGCGAGTTAATATTCCTCCTATTTATCCGGTGCGCATGGGCAATTTCGACTCCGCTCCTATAAAGGTATAAAGATAGGTGTAGATCACCCGCGATTCTCTCTTAATCGGTTGACTACATTTTAGGTCTCGTAGATCAAAGTCGGAATTTGGTATATTTAGGCCATTAAGCTAAATACCTACCTCCTAAGGTAGGTAAGTAAGCTCAAGGAACCAACGTACCGCGATAGAAAGAAGTGCGGAATAAAGTGCTGAATATTCTAAGTTTTTATGATTAGGAGGCAGATACCTAAGTAAATCAGTCGCCTGTGATCGATTGTAACATTGATTATCTATCGGCGAATACTCCTTGACTACAGAATCAAGGTCTCATTGCCAGAAATGTGTAACTCTACTAATTTTCCATGGGCTGAGAGAAGAGACAGAATCTTCATCGATAACTGTTATCGAAAAAAAAAAAGGACAAAGAAAAGTTTCAAGGGAAACGACACCTAAGTAAACAGTCCGCCAGTAGCGGGTAAATGTCATTCGATACAGTAGTTGAGTTCCGGTGCCACTTCGCCCCGTCAAGATAATAGTCCAGAACGCCGGGTTTGTTCCTCAAGCTTTTTCATTATCCTGCTCCATCAAATTTGGTATTCCTTCATGTACAGTACCCACTGCCATTGTGTATTTCCAGCATCACAAACCAGCATCTTTGGATATGTCTAGTATTATTCCTCACTCACCCCACCCATGAAAAAACCATTGGGTTTGCTTGGTTTCTTTCCCAACTTCAACAAGCTCAGCCTTTTCTTGACTGAATTAAACCCTATCCCACCATCATTGGGTCTATCAAAGTCCCTCTCAAAGACATCTACTATCTCCTTGCTTTTGCGTGACCGGTCGACTGTCCAATCGGGTGTGGTTGCGTCAACGACGATACCATTGGAGTAGGGTTGAGCATACGGATTTGAGCTGAGATTAGTGTCGCTCGACTGGGTGCGGAATATACTCCTTCGATTTGAATTATCCTTTCCTCTGCTTACTTGACTGTTAGAATCGCTGCTGTCACCTTTGGTTTGCTTCAAACTCAATGTGTCGCCGTTAGACTGTTGAGGTTGCTGGGATTCCTTCTTTTTTCCACCTAAGAAGCTAAGTCTTGTCCCACGTTGCTTCATAGAAATTGGTTGAGCGGCTGATGCTTCCTCCACTACACCGGCAGCGTTTACTGCCAATACGCCAGCTTTGGCTTCCGGAGACAGGTTCTCTGTAGTAGGAGATGACCGTTGCCAAGCTGGTGACGATGCAGCTGAGGCGTTGTCGCGAGGCGGTTGAGCAGGTGCGAAAATCGCAATCTCCGGTGCGAATGTAGACAAGAAATCTAGAGCGTGTTAGTCAAATCAAACGAAACCTGCATCAATCACTTACGCTTGTACGAGTCCTCATACCCCTTCAGGAGGACAGGGTTTGTGCTACGAGCAAAACTGGCCAGACATCTCTTAATCATGATTGCGTGATCTACAAGCGCCATCTTGATTGCGTTCTCTTGTTGGTCTAGCTCTGGCTCATCATCATCATCGGACTGTGGGATAGGAAGAAGCTGACGATAGCAGGCAACACTACTATCCGATTCAGGATTTACCGAGATGCTAATGGCATCTACCATTAGTTGAGCAACTTCTTCGTCTTCTTCTTCGGCCAGTTTCTTCTCGACGGCTGTCATTTCTTGCGTCTTCCGCACAATCCGTTCAAGGGCTGTCTCCTTAGCACCCAACCGTATAGTGTGGATGTCCACAACCTCGCTACGCCGTAGGATAGTAGGAAAGGGCTCGGCCGTAGTATAGACTGTCTTTTCAGCATAGTGAGTGTCAACGGGTCCGTTGGTGCTGCGCTTAGACGATACTGAGAACATCTGTGCATGAGCCGAAAGGAGATAATCGCGAATAGGCTGTGGGACTCTAGCGCGCTGAAATACTTGGTGACTTAGATCGCGATGAGGGCTGAGGGCTGAAATGACTAAGTATTGCCCTTCAACTTCACTGTCGACATCACTGGACGTAAGGATCTGGGCAGCCGGGTACTGCTCTTGCATACGGTCTGTAAAGGCTGACGTCCGCTCAGTGGGCGAGCCCTCGTACACAAACGCCTTGTCGCGCAGATTTGAAGGAAATCCGAGACCCTTATATATAACCTTGAAGTATTTTGGTACCAACTTATCACTCTTTGCTAGCTTTTCATAAATAGTCGCAATAGCTCTCTCTGTTCTAGCAAGTTTAGCGAAGTCAAAGACATTATTCTCGTATTGGGCCTGAAGTTCCTTGTAGGCTGCGAGCGCACTACTCCAAGCTTCTCCTTCTTCGAAGTGCTTAATCATATCGAAGTAAATTCGCTCCTTTCGTTCAAAATGAGACTGTTCTGGAAGATCTGGGTCTTGTAAGGCAGGCGTTAGCCTTGAAGGGTCCCAATCGTATAATTCAGCATGAAGGCGAAGGGCTAGTCCGGCTTCCGTATGATTCTTGGCATCGAATTGCAAAGTCGCTAGTTGGTGGACGTATCGGATAAATATCTCCTCCTTCTGCATGTCTCTGAGAAACTCCATGAGCTGAAGGCGGTTGATTAAATGAGAAGCTTCGCTCGTGATATCTCCGCTATGAACGGCGACAAGAAGGTCCAGAAACTCGGCAATTGTATCGATCAAGCCTCTTAAAGCAGAGTATAGTGGATCGCCTCCAACTAGCGACAATGGCTCAAATCGGTCAAGAAGCTCACTGATAAAGAGCTTTTGCAAGATACTCTCAGTCATGGTCTTATCTTTGAAGAATCCATCCAGGCAATCGATCATCTCTGTCTGGATAACTGACAAGTCTTCACTCAGCGTCCATTCGCTGACGATCATAGTTTGGAGAACTTCGACGGCCATTCTCCTCAGTCCTTCGTGAACGCTTAGACAAAGTTCAACTATAGGACCAACCAATGTAGGGACATATTGGACTTGATAGCCGCCCATCTTAGTCAGCCCATATCGAGATCTCTCATCAAGGCTTGTCTCCCAGCCAATAGCTTCCCAGGTACGCCTTAACAACTCGGCACCGTGTTCCCTAACGTCACCGGCGATCTTCCAAACTGCTCTTCGCTTTTGTTCCGAGAAGGTCTCGAGTGCCAAGTGTCCGCTACCGACTAGTTTTAGCAATGTAGAGAAGAACATCCGCCACAATTCCGTATCGAAGTCTTCGGCATCGTCAGGGTGAGGCAAAAAGGATTCCAGGAGAATGCTTGCAAGATATTGTAGTGTTCTCATAGTTGACTTGTGGTGATAGATGTAAACACTTAGCCAACTTGATGGGAAAGCCTCCCCCTGCAATATACTTGTATGCACGTGGAGTGTATCCTTCAAGAGGCTAGTGAGGTCTTCTGCGGCCAATTCAAGTTGCATTCCATTGGGTGAGTTAGAAAGAGCGGACAAAATTGCTGACAATTCGATTAAAGCCTCGTCAAACTGAACAGCATCGCCAGGTATTTGTTTGCTCGGGAAGGGGTATGTTATTGGAAACAAAATTGAAAACCGGGTTTTGGGTTTCAGCTCCGTAGCTTGGATAGATAGGTAAGAGCCGACGATCTTCGGTATGTAGTCAGGGATCTCAGAATTAAGATGATCGACCTGGCTAGCCAGGACTGAGCAACAAAGGCGAACTTGTTCCTTCCATTGCTCTGTGACGTCGTCCGTCCGACCCCAATGTGGTGCAATCCATCTTACTGTGTTTGCACAGAGAGCTGATCGTTGCTCCGGACCAGCAAATAGGTCTAATTTAGAGTAGTTGATGATCAGAACTAGTTTATATAGCACCAGCTTGCCCTTAACCAGGGCACATGAATCCATAAAGTCAATGGCTATGTGAAGAATCTCTTCAGTAGTTAATAATCCGGTAAGTTCAGGTAACCAGGTGTGAAAGTGTTGTACGGCCAATGTCTGACTTCCGACCAGAACTGGCGCGGTGCTTCGCATCATTGAATCAAGAGCCTTGAATATACTTTGCAAGTGTCGAGTAAAGCCGGCCGTGCTGCCGGTAATGCCAATACCAGCTTCTTTAACCTTCTGCTG